TGGGCACGCGAGCATTGCCCTAGCTCAGCTCCAGTGCACGTATGTGTGCCGGCCAGTAGATTTTTGGGCCTTCTGGGCCCACCAGAAGTCGGGAAACTGGCCATTTCTGACCTCCGGGCGGGGGGAGGCAGTTTTTGCCCTCCCCAGGCTCCAAAAAAGCATCTGGAGTCTTGGGAGGGTGAACAATGGGCCTTCAGGGCCCATTGGAAGTTGGGAAACGGGCTGTTTCTGGCGTCTGGAGGGCCTCCGAGGGGGTGGGGAAGGCCGTTTTCACCCTCTCCAGGCTCCAAGAAAGCCTCTGGAGCCTGGGGAGGGCAAAAAACAGGCCTACTGGGCACACTGGTAATCTTTTTGCCGTCGCATGCCAAAAGCAGGGGGAGCACGGGGGAGGTCGCTCATGCATGCACGGGGGGTTGGGCATGGGTGGGGCATTGAATTATGGATGTGGGCATGCACGCGCGCGACGCCCCCACACACACAGACACCGCTTTTGGCACACGACGGCAAAAAGGTTAGCCATCACTGCCCTATATTCATTTAAATCTAATTTAGGATTTCTGGCAACGAGGAACGGCACAGAGTTTAAAAGGTTGAGGATGTAAGGTGATTCCTACTAGCGGTTCCTGACTGAGTTCTTTCACTCCTTCGGGTAGCTGCCATTTGAAGCTTCTCAGCAGGTTGGTAAACAAAAGGAAAGACTCCATTCTTACTAAGTTTTCCGCCACACAGACACGAGCTCCTGCAAAGGAAATATTAGAAAAAAACAAGAAAGGGAAGAATTAAATTCATCCCTGAGAGAACAGTCTTGACATCGATCAAAGGCAAACATACCAAAGACTAAATAAATAAATAATAAATCCAAGATGGGCCTGGAGGGAGGGAGTCAAGCAGGGCCGGATTTAGATGAAAAGAGGCCCTAGGCTATTCCACTTATAAGGCCCTTTCATCTATAGTGAAAGTGTAATTTTAATTTTGCTAACAATTTGTAAATTTCTTGTCTGGGCAAGTGATCCCACCATGCAGGCTAATAGTCCTTCAGGAGAAGGGCGGCATATAAATCGCAATAAAATAAAATAAATAAAAATAAATATTTTAAATGCAGACCTAGAGAATTCCTTTTCCCTCAATGTGGCCCAGGCAAGTCAAAAGGTTGGGCAACTATGTTTTAAATCATATTGGATTCTGGAGACAGATAGCTGGGTATCCTCAGCATATTGGTGATACCTCAGCCTGTGGTGATGGATGATCCCCCGATTAGAAAGGTTGGTTTTGCAAATTGCATTCTGCCAAATTGTAGGTTATTTTATGGTCCTGGGTTACAAGTAAAACAGGCAATATGATTTGTTCAGCCACAGGTAGCCTCGCAAGCAACAGGGTCAATTAAAATGACTGATTGATATAAAAAGTAGGCTGAAACAATGGCAGAGAAAACTTGACATTCAGGGGGATATTGTTTCCAAACACACAATTTCACATATAATTCTTAATGTCTTATAAAAGGGTAGGGGAGTATTCCATTATTTAGGATAAGAAATGTTAGACATTCCAATCTAGTAGTAAATTATTATAGTCAATTATAAAGAATGTTCATATATTCCCTCAATAAAACCTGATATGACAATGACTGGAACATAGTACACTGATATTTCCATAAGACCTTAGCTTAGAGTTCAGAAAAGTCAAGATCTGGTTATATTTCTTTATCATGGAACCATGAAAATTGTTTCAATAAAATACCAATCCAGCATTGTCTAATACTGAAGAGATAAACAGGGATGAATGTTTTTAGAACTGGAATCAGAAACCCCAGTTCTGTAGAATAGAATTGAAGGTTGAAAACATCTCATATTGGACCTGGTTTTTACTTCTAAAGAACCCTGGAATCCTCTTCCCTCTATAGAACTTCTTTCTAATGGGAAAAAAAATATTTCCACACTACAAGCATGCTGCTTCAAATAATTCAGTTGCTGCTATTGCAGGACTTCATGCCAACTCATCCTTTCCCAACACAACCATACAGTCTCTCTATAAGACAGCTATAAGAGTTTCAATGTATGAATGGCAGGTAACTAAAAGAGTTGAAAAGTTACATCATAATTTATTTATTTATTTATTTATTATCTTTAGGGAACATGGTGGCTCAGTGGCTAAAACGCTGAGCTTATTGATTGAAAGGTCAGCAATTCAGTGGTTTGAATCCCTAGTGCCACATAATGGGGTGAGCTCCCATTACGGAGATGTTTTTCAGACAGTGCTAGCTCTTCGGCTTTGAAACAGAGATGAGCACCACCGCCCCCTAAAGTCGGGAATGACTAGCACATAAGTGCGCGGGAAACCTTTACCTTTTTTTTTAATAATTTTTTTTTTATTATTTTTAAAACAAAAACATAAAACACATCTTTTCAAAACGAAGCTTTTGCTCTGGTCACATATTAAAGAAAAATCATTAACAAATCTTATTTTTCAATTAACACAACTAAATATTTTAAACAAGTATTTCCCTCAAATCTGTTTATGTAACTATGCCATTATCCCCAAAAACCCGTTAAATCTTAAATCCTAACCAATTATCAATCCATTTTTCTCTTTCATTTACTTAGATGGATATATTTTAACAATATAAATCATACAATTATATTAAACATTCCAAAAATATTTAATTTCAACATGCCCATTTTATTTCTATATTAAACTCCAAATTTGTACTCTTTATTTCTATTATTAAACCTAACTTATTCAATTTATCTTAACTATCACTCTCAACAAACACCTCCTCACTTTAATTATCCCACCTTATTTTATATTTTCCTAAAAAAAAAAAAAAAAAAAAAAGAACCCCAGTGTTATTGTCTTTATCTTTGTTATTAAACCAATCATTTTCATTTCTTAACTGTTAAACACAGCATACATTTGTTTTGGCTGTTGAACACAGCATATCCTTTTTTATTTTTTTTTGGCTGTTACACAGCATGCCCTTTCTTATTTGCCTGTTAAACACAGCATATTCATTTTTGGTTTTTTTGGCCGTTACACTGAATATTCAGTTTGTTTTGGCTGTTACACAGCATAATCATTTTGTTTGGCTGTTCAGCACAGCATGTTATAAGTTTTTGGCTCTTAAACACAGCATATTCATAGTTGGTTTAACTATCAATCTCTACTTAAACCTTTCTTTATTGTTTCCATCCATCTATGCATTGCATTTTCACATAATCTTATGAATCTTATAATCTTTTTCATGACATTCATGACATTTTAACATTAAGACATGGTACTTGCTTAAAACATATCTTTAAGTGTATTTATAAATTCCTTTTAACATTTTCAATTAATCATATTTATCCTTATTCTTTTCCTTAACATTTTGACATTAAAACATTGTTCTTGCATCAAGCATATCTTTACATGTATTAATTAATTTCTTTTAATATTCTTAAATTCTATAAAAACCTCCCTTTTATTATTACAGTCCATCTTTACTTTATTTTATTTTTAATCACATTATCTTCATTTCCTCGCCTGCAAACTTATATTTCCTTCCATTTTCCAAGTTTTTAGTTTTGTTCTCCATGAATCTTTTCTTATTTTTATTCCGGATATGATATATCAAATATTTTTCTTTTGAGGTGCACTTAATCCTTCTTCTATTCCTGTGCCAGCATTTAAATTATTATTATTTCAATTGTAGGAGTTTCATTGTAAATTTCTTTTCTTTTCACCATAATCAAACCGCCTGCATACAAAAAAAATCCTCCTCCACAGAGATCAGTAATTTTGTCTGTAAAGTTCAGTTTCCCATAACAAAGGGAAGTTACAAAGTTCCTCTTTACGCCAGATGGTGTCTCTCTATAATCCACATTTTCCATTAGTCATGCAAGACTCCATTTTATTTATTATTATATAACCATCCAATTTATTTCTTCTTGCCCAGTTGTCACAGTTTTGTGGCAGCCGCCATGGCTGCCGCCCCCTGCCGCCGACTCACAGAGGGTCCCCTCTGACCTCCGAGGAACTTGCCTGTTCCTCTCGGTCATCCGAGGCACCCCTCTTCTCCCCCATCCCTGGAAGACGGGTTTGGTCCGAAGATCCATCGGCAGTGATTCGGCAGCCATGGCGGGACTCACTGCAATTTCCCTGACTGTTTCACCGCAACACCAAACCGGAAGCCACCTTTTTCTCTTAATTTCAAAGAGAGTTGTGTCAGTTTTTGAAAAAATAAATTACCTTCTTGCATAAAAGAAAGAAAGAAAAAAATCCTTATGGTTCATTTGTATGACAGAAAGGATTATCTGAATTTTCAGACTCCAGTTTGTTCAGAGGAATTTCCAGCTTACCAATAAATATAACTTCCATTACTGAAACTCATTGATACATCCTGTATATCACAGAAATGTACACACATGAATGTATATACATTCATATACACACATACACGACACACTCATCAATATGAAAGGAATAAACTAACGTTAAAACATTGGGATATATGTTTATTGAGACTTATTTTATAGATGAATACAACTATAGACAAATGCAACTTTTAAATAAGGAAATAATTAAGACATCCTTTCATTCATTGATCATTATGATACAGAATCTCTTCATTTTGCTTGCATCCCCCTCCAAAGCTTTTAGGCTGTGGACCTATGAAGACCTAGAAATACATTCCAGCAATGAGGGTTTGACATAGCTCTTCAGGTTGAGCAAGATATATTATGTAAATTTAGGCAGGGCATGAAGTAGAAACTCTTGACACCAACCAATATTATTTACCCAGGGCACTGTAGAGATGTCCTACTTTCCTACTACCTGTGTTTTCCCAAAAATAAGACCTGGTCTTATTTTTATTTAATTTTTTTTTGCCTCCAAAAGAGGCACCAGGTCTTATTTCCTGAGGCTGTCTCACCTCATGATGGTGGCACCAACAGCCCCACCCAGCAGGAGCCCATGTGGCCACTGCCAGCCCACTTCTGAGGCTGTCCTGGGGCATGTTGCATCTCTCTCTTCCTCCACATCTATTGTTTTTGTGTTCCCAGAAACATGAGAAGCACTCTGCTAAAACAGCACAGGGTGATTTTTGGTCTCCAGGACAGACAACTCAGGTCTCCAGAAGGACCTGAGAATAATGGCATTCAGAACTGTGCTGCCTTGTCTTAGTGTTTCACTTCAAATGCATTCAGAACTCTATTTTGAGAGACATTGATGATCTGGACAAAACTTTGGGCTCCAATCTGCATATTAAGCTCAGAGGTGATTACTTTGTTTAAAAGGTGAAGAGAATAAAATTTATTCATTTCTAAAATTGCATCCCACTTATCTAAACAGAGTGATCACACTGTCTACATATCTTAATGCATGTTACGTTAGGAGATGAACACATCTCTAATCGCAATTCACACAAAATAAATTTTATCAATTCCTTTTTTACTTTCCTTGTCCTCCTGCCTCCTGTGTAATTGTTGTCCCTGTTCTCAGCTGCCCTCACTTTTTCTTTCTTTTTTTTAAGAGATGAATATCGTTTATTAATTTTTAGATTTGTTTCTCAGTGTTTCAACCTATGTACAAAGATGAAAATATATGACAGAAAAATAAGGCAAAGTACAGACTGTAAATGGCAACAATCAGCAACTAGAAAATACACAGTAGACAGTAGCAAACACAAGTATCAACTAGGAGACCCTAATTAAAAATACCCATGAAATGATGCAAACTGAGATGGAAGCTTCAAACCCAAAGCTGATACACCTTCCTCATACTAATTCCACAGTTTAACAATTGCATCTCTGTGAATGGAAATGCCTTAGAAATTAAATAGAGATTGCACAGATGAACAAATAAATATACAATATGTAGACAAATTCAGTTTTATACATAGAGGAATAGACTCTAAGAAAAGGCTCACTTTTTCACCCATCTTGGATGATCATTATAAAATCTCAGTTCAAATTAACCACCTTGTGGCTTAGATAAATCCTAGTTGGGAGTACAATTTGTCCCAAATCAGCTGCGCAGCTCAGTGGGTAAGCTAGGACTAGTTTCATTCCTACAAGTCAAAGGTTTTTGTAAATAGAGGCGGAGAAGTTTGAGCAATTTGGAAGAAGTCAGAGTGAAGATATTAAATGTAACAAGTATTCAAGTTCATTTTTCAAGTAAATGTTACATGCATCTGTTTACAGGTCTGTGATTTCCCCCCTGCCTTTCTACCTTCCTCCCTTTCTCACCTTGGATATCTGGGTAGGCCACCATGTAGAGTAGTGCCCAATGCAATGTGGTAGATGTGGTCTCTGACCCTGCTATGAAAAAATCGAAGATACTGTAGGCCAGGTTGTTTTCATCCAAAGTAGATGTGGGGTCATCTTTACTCTGTGAATGCATACCAAGAAACTTAGGTAAGGAGATAGAAAAAGTAGAAGAGGTCTTGAGAGACATGAAAAGGAAACTACTTAATAAGGAACATGCTTAAGAATCAAGTCCCTTCAATAGAACATTGATTCGTCAACAGACTAGAGGAAATCTGGATTTCTTAATTAAAAAGACCTCTGTTATCTTTATTCTGTGAACGCAGAATAATAAAGCTCAGGTGAAAGGACAGGAATAATGCAAAAGAGCTTGGCATGATGAGAATCAATTTGGTCTAGTGGTGAAGGTGCTGGCCTAGAAATCAAGAGACTGAATTCTAGGCCCTTCTTAGTCATAAAAATTGCTGGGTGACTTTGGGCCAGTTATTCTCTCTCAACCCAGGGTGGTTTTAGGGGGTGAACCTATTCTCCAAAGCATCTGAACGCAGGTCAAGAAACAATGGATGGAAACTAATCAGGGAGAGAAACAAAATAAAAATAAGGAGAAATTTCCTGAGAGTGAGAACAATTAATCAGTGGAATGGCTTGCCTTCAGAAGTTATGGGTACTCCATCACTGGAGGATTTTAAGAAGAGATTGGAGGACATTTATCTGAAATGGGATAGGGTTTCCTACTTGAGCAAAGGTTTGGACTAGAAGACCTCCAAGGTCCCTTCCAACTCTATTATTCTGAACTTTTTGTGAGCACTTACAAATACTTATTGATCTGAGACAAGTTTGAATTTGGAGAGTGCTATACTAATGGTATTCATCTCTTACTTTTGTCATCTGTGCCAAGTAGAAATCAATGAAATTCTGTGGATCATCCAGCATCCCACTCTTCTCATGACTTCTGATCTCCTTCATTGCAAAAGATATTGAAAAGTCATAACAAGCAAAGGCCCTCTGATGACGGCCTGGGAGATGATTCATAATCCATGGGAATGTATCATAGACCTGCATAAGACAGAAAACCCATTAAAAACACAATATTTGGCAGTAAGAAAACATATTTTCTGTGGGCCATTGATGACAATAGCCAATCTAAGATGTGATGTAATGTGTGTTTCTCTGATCAACCTATCGTAAATACTTCCCATTTTTTATTTCATGCACCCACTTCTGCATTAACCTCTGTGGCTGATCTGCTGTTAGCTACGCCTGCCCTCAACATATATTACCACTATTTTGCTAATATTCCAAATTAAAGGAGTTATATTACCATCTCAGCATTCTGTGCCCATTTCTTTCTTTTAGTTATCCAAGGAGATTAGAAAGAGATAAAGTGTTGTGGCCTGACAGCCACCAGCCCCTCCGGCAGCCAAATCAGATGAGGCGGCAACATGGGAGTCAGGCCCAGCGTCAAGGCAACCTGAGAGCTCCGAGGGGAAAGAGGGAATGGAGCTGGCAGAGAGAGAGAGGCAGAGCCTGGGCCATCCATCAGCCCTCAGATGAAGAGTCAACAGCTCCCAGGTCTGGAGGTGGCTGATGAGGAAGAAGAGGAACAGCTGGGTCCAGTGCCTGACACATGAATATGCAGAAGGCAGAGGAGAGGAAACCAGTGGGTCCTTGGGATGGAAGAGCCACCGCTGCTAGCGAAGCCCCACCCTAGCTGTGGGGATAAAAGGCAAGGGGCAGAGATGAATAGATGTGGCAGACAACTATCCATCTCCCTGCCGGTCAGCCGCTGATAGCCTGCGCTTGCGAATCCTGTCTGGAAATTATCAGAATTCTTGGAATCTGCAGTGCCTTCTGAGTGTGTCTGTGATTATCTCTGCTGCTGGAAGAAAGCAAGCGCACCCTCCAGGACTTCCTTTGCAAGTGTGGGAAGTGAGAGAGAGAGATTCCTGGTGTGTTGGAGCCAGTTCAGGGGGAAAGGGAGTGAGCGTCACTTTCCACAGACTTAGAGACTTTGTAGCCTGCTGTGAGAGAGCGGCTGCTGGTGCTCCTAATCAAGGGAATGTTTTATTAAATACAAAGGGCTTGTCGTGTTTGGGAGCCGGGTCAGAACAGAAAGCTTCATATCTTCCTTATAACTATCCTTGACTCTTGTATCATTTCTTGGACATTCTGATTTGACAACTGGGGCATTGGGGAAATTTCTAGATAGAGTTTCAGTTTAGTTTAGTTTATTGTCATTGCACTTCATACAACAAAATTAAATGCCATCTTCAGTGTACATTATAACTAAAAAAATAAAACACAAACACACATCCTTCACATTCTATACAATTGAACTGAAAACCTGATATTGCATTAATATTGCACTATACGGTAGAATTCAATATAGTTACTGCTCTGGGATAAAAGCTGTTTTTCAGCCTATTTGTCCTTGTTTTTATTGTCCTGTACCATCTTCCAGATGGTAATAGTTCAAACAAAAAAAAAGGGTGCCCAGGATGAGATGGTTCTTTAAGAATATTTTGAACTTTCTTAAGGCAGCAGAAGCTATAAAGCTCTTCCAAAGAGGGGAGGGGGTAACCACTGATCCTTTGGGCAATGACATTAACCCTCTGGAGCGCTGTCCTACCTGCCACTGTGCAATTGGCAAACCATACACAGATGTTAAAATACTCTCTATGGTGCAGCGGTAGAAGGTCACCAGCATTTTTTTATTCAGTTGTTGTTTCCTGAGAAGTCTCAGGTAGTATAATCTCTACTGGGCCCTTTTGACCAAAGCTGCAATGTGAGTGCCCCATGCATTCACATTACCGTACTTACAGTCTGCCAGATGCTTCCTCCAATTTGAAGTATAAATTCGGTACTTTTGATTAGCTGGCGGAAAGTTTCATCATCTTTGGAGAATCGATAGCCAAACAGGAGAGCACAGATCACATTGGAAACAGCAAGAATGATGTGGAAAGAAGGTTCCATGGGCTGCCCTGTATTTTTATTGAAAGTTCATTCATCAGCTATAAATATTATGCATTTTTTAAAAAAAAGATATTTCCTTATAATTCCAACTCATATATCTTGCTTTTCTTTCAACCCATCAAATTATAGTATGTTCATGTACAATAGAACTAGAAGTAATTATTTTGCTTGGTTTATATGCAGTATCAAATTACAGCAACCCTGCTCCTAAAATTAGGATAGCCTGGTTTAGTGGCAAATGAAACAGACTCTGGGCTGCCTTCTCCAAATTCCTCCATTATTCTATTTTTAAAATGGCTTTTCAACCGTACCTTTAGAGCTGTCAAAGACCTCAATCAAATGCAAAGTCTCTTCTTGGATCTGATGCTCCAGGCCTGACTTTCCTTGGCTCAGAAACTTGAGACCCATCGCTCCAATTCGCCGATGTTGCTTCCATACATTTCCACTGGCAAAAATGATGCCTGAAAAATCACTGGGTGATTATTTTCTGTTCTGTTATTTGATGTTTCATAATCAAAACACCTCAGTGTCTGATCTGAAGTCTGAAGTCCCAACGTCTGATCTTGATCGGGCAGGTTAGGAAATTGGCTTGTACTGAGATCTTCTTGTGAATAGTTATGTTTCTTAAGTATCTGCCCAAGGCAACCATGAACTGATGTAACTAGTGATTCGATACTGGAACAGAGCATGACTGGAGTTTGCAGTTTCAAGATGTACTGATTTTGAGATTTGATTGAAAAAAGTATGTCCGCGGGCTATTTTTATTTATTTATTATTAAACTTAAATGCTGCCCATCTCACTGTGGCTATGATAGAGAAGGACAAAACTTGGGGGGGGGGAGGGAGAGTTAGAAATAGCAGAAATCTGAGCTCCCTAGATGACATTAATCCTGTGTATTTCAGGTAGATTTTATAAGGAGTGTTAAGTTACCAGCAGCTGTTGGCAGCCTGGAAAGATGGAGTTGCACAAGTCTCATTAATCAGATTTATTGGAAGAAAAGGGGTTGGGCTAGACAACCTTGGAAACTGGATATCTGTAATTTCCCTCTACTTCACCAGTGGGTATATTAAAATAGGGTTTTCTTTTTGCCTTTAGTTAGCAGTCATGTCTGTCTATCAGCCAGCCAGAGCCAGCCAGCCGGCCAGCCAGGGATTTTAAGTCATTAATAAATCTGGTATTTATCTCAGTTTTCCCATTGAGGCCAGAATTAAGAAGCAAACCAAAAACCAGGACTGAAACAAAACCAAAAGTTTGCATTGTAGAAGATTGGCAAAGAGTTAGTGGTGTGAAGCCCTTTTCCCTTTTGCACTTTCAAGAAATACCTCCACAGAAAGAGTTATTTAGCCAGCTGAGGCACTTTGTATGTAATTCAGTGACGGTTGCATTGCAACATCTTCCACTCATGCACTTTGTCATTACTTAGCAGACTTTGTGGACTGCATCATTGTATTGTTAATTGCTCTTGCCTGCCTATTTTCTAACCCCTGCCATTCTGTCCCCCATTCTGTCTGGGGAATTCTGGGAGTTGAAGTCCACATGTCTTTAAATTGCTAAGGTTGAGAAACACTGGCTTAGAATCTTTCCTAAAAAGATTCCACTATTTAAAGTTAAGATAAGAAGCACCATTGAACCAGGTCCAGATGTTGTTTACATAAATTACATAACTTATATTAAAAACAAATATTAAAAGGAGGGAGAAGCCCCTAGAAAGTTTGAACCTTGATGTAGACTCAAAGCCCCAGAAGAGTCTTGCATGACTGTAGGCTTTAAGGCATCTGTTTGGCACCATTCTTGGACTTCCTGGGATGATGAAGGGAGATGGACTGGTATATCATTCTATCAACTCCCTAACACTTATTCAATAATATCCTATTAGGCATTCCATTCTGGTTTAAGCCTGTTGCTTATTGGCACCTGACTGGCCACTGAGGTCTCAACACAGATTAGAGCTAAATGCCAGGGGAAAAGTGTTGCTCAAATTCTTAGGATTTCATCTTTCTGACTGCACTGTTCTCTTGCTTCTTTGTAAATATAACATTTTACTTTCTTAGAATTCTACTGGCAAAGCCTTCTTCACATGCTCTTCTGGTGACCTGATTCCAGAGGAAGTTCATTAAACTCACCTTTTCTCTTGCCAAGTTTTTCAAAAAAAGGACTTGTTGGTCGTCCGCTCATGTCTTCTGGATGGGCTGTCAGACCTTCCTTCACTGCCTCAAATCCGTTGAGTATAATTATTGGTAACTGTCCCAACCACAAGGTGAAGACATTCCCATGACTCTTTGCTAGCTGCAGATACGTGGAGAGTAAAAATAAATCTTAGCCTAGCTCAGTTGAAGCCATTGCTAATATGTAAGCACTATTCACCCTTCAGAAATCATTTGGAATCATTTGCATTTTACACAAAATCTTTTGTTAAAGCAAGCATGCCATTAGGAAGACTATAATATTATCTAAATTATTTTTAAACTATAATGAGATTAGAAGTGTAATACTAAGAAATATTAGAAGTTTCAAAGATCATCATGCCTACCGTCCCTGTCCTACTGTCCCCATTTACTTGTAGTCATTCTTAGTTTATACAAAATAAATAAATAAATAAATAAATAAATAAATAAAAGATTTTCAACTAGACAAGCCTTCAACATGATTTAGCAACAGATTTTATCTAATTTAATCATTAAGACAACTTTTTTTAAATCTATAAATATTAACACAATCTTCTCTGAGACCTTTCCTTGTGATTCTTGCCAATAGTAAGAACTATTTCATTAATTATGATATAGGTTAGTTCAAAACTATTTTTAAAAGAGTTGCAAGAAATATTATGAAAATCTTATGCCAGAACTAGGGTAAACAGGATTTCTTCCAAGAAGCCTTTTGGAAATTCTTCCTTCCTTCATGTACGTAGCTAACTGTGGCTTGGAAATGCTTGGAAGCAACCACGAACCATTCCTTGGAAGGACAATTTAAGGTTCTCTCAGTCATATCTAGGAATGAGATGAATAAGAACAAGAGCAGGAAAAAAAATGTGGCCAGCGTGGGTTTGTGGCATGGATTGCTTGCAAAGGTGGAAAGACCCTCTCACCTTATATTTCTATTTTTTGATGTTGAAAGGTAAGAAAACTGCTGCCAAGTGTGCCTTGCAAGAGGCTGCTGGTGAGATGGATGGAGCAGCAAGTGGGGCATTGTCCAGCTTCAGTTAAATATCTTCCTTACTTCAGAAAGAAGGAAAATGAAGACAGCTGAGCACAGCATAGGGCCCTATTTTAAGCATCAGACATCCAGCAGAAATTGATCATCTTCCAGCCCTCAGATGGATTGGTAGGACCTGTCCTGCACCCACCTTCCCACCCATCATCTCTTCCTTCCCTTCTTCATGGAACAAGCAAAGACTTAACTCTTTTTCTGACTGAAGCACCCCAACGTGGAACTCAGATGCTGAGACCCTCAACTCTCCAGATCATCCTTACTAATAACTTCACCTTAATTCTAAGCTTTCCTAAGCCAAGTTGAGCACAGTTTATAAATACCGTAATAAGAGTCTCATAAGAAAAGTCAAATCTCATCTGCCACAGTGTTCCAATAACTGGGAAAGGCATCGGTCCAGGTGGAAGTCTTCGGGCCATCCATAGTATTTTCAGGTACTGTGAAATCACAAGCACAAGCACAAGAGCGATTAGCAGACCAGGCAAGGCTGACATCTTTGTATGTTTTCTCCTTTTTCCTTCCACGTCTCTTTCCAAACTTTCCAAACTTCACCCTTAGGGAATACCTCTTTCTGTTCTGCTCAATCTTGTCAAGAGTCAAGTGATTTTGCTTATGCTGCTTAACCAGTTTAAGATCCTCCTCTCCATGCAGATTAAAATCTAAAACTATTGGAACTTCGGAACTTTGTCACAGATTCTGAGTACACCTTACCCCTCTCTTTGTATTAGGAAACCAAGGTTGCCTCAAGTCTTGGCAGTTCCACCAACTATGAGTTGATGATGATGATAACAGACATGCTGCCTGTTCAAGTGGAATGTGTTTTATCAAATATGTTAGGAATACACACACACACACACACACACACACACACACACACACATATATATAAATAATATTATATATTATATATTACATATTATATATTATATTATGTATTATATATATATTATATATGACTAAATATATTAACCTAACTAGGCGGCTCAGTGGCTAAGACCCTGAGCTTGTCGATCAGAAAGGTTTGAATCCCTAGTACAGGTCTCCTGCGTGAGCAGGGGGTTGGACTAGATGACCTCCAAGGTCCCTTCCAACTCTGTTACTGTTATAGTTATAGCCCCAAATCCAGTGTATCAATGCTACACTCTGATATTTGCATGAGCTGTCGTGATGGCACCTGGCAATTGCCTGAACAAATTCCTGCACTTTGCTTGGCAAATTTTTTGGAAGTGGTTTGCCATTGCCTCCTGCTGAGAGAGGAGGATTCAACCAAGGTCACCCAGCTGCTTCATGCCTAGGGAGGAACTGGAATTCATAGTCTCCGTTTCTAGCCTGATGCCTTAACCACTAAACCAAACTGCCACTCTATATTATGCCTAGTTGCCCTAATACAGGGGTGTCAAATTCAAGGCCCAGGGGCCAGAGTTATCCCACGGTGTGCTTATATCTGGCACGCAGTGCCACCCTGGAAACAGTGAAGGACTGGCCCACAGTGCCTCTGCCAGCAAAAACGGGCTCCCGATCTCAGTTTTTGGCTGCAACGGGCTCCTGCAACCCTCTGCCAGCAAAAAAAAGCTCAGGAGGGTTGCATGCTCCGTTTTCACTGGCAGAGGGTTGCAGGAGGCCGCTGCAGCCAAAAGCAGAGCCCGTTTTTCCTGGCAGAGCGCTCGGGCCACCACAAGCGCTCCCGACACGCTGGCCATGCCCACCCCAGCCACGCCTACCCCGCCCCCTGAGATCAAACACAATCCTGATGCGGCCCTCAATGAAATCGAGTTTGACACACCTGCCCTAATAAAAGGCTGTCCTTGTTCAGCAACTGTCTCTGACAGTGGTCATTCCAGTACAACAGTGAAAAGTAACTGCAGCCGATGACCACATTTACAATCTCAGGAGTTCAACATTGCAGTCAGTCAGCATCACTGTCTTGTGCTTGACCCTTTTTTCCACTTCCACTTATTGCATCAGTAAGGTATCCCTTCTCTTTTTTTCCAAATGATTTTATTAAAGATTACAATGGGGGAGATCCTTGGTGCTCTCTGAGCTTGTTTTCTTGCAGATGTTTCATAAAACAAGCAAGCTCAAAGATCACCAAGGACCCCTCATTTCAACCCTGAGCTATAAATATTCTCCTTTATTAGATTACAGTAGACATAATAAAAACTATACAAACCAGTAAAATATATAAAAGCGTGAAAAAATAAAAAAAAGAAACTTCCCCTTCATCTGAACACACAATTTAAGTAAATTTATCACCATCTCTTAAGTTGCAATCTAAACTCCTTGAAAGAGAAAGACAGTCAAGAAGCATGAACTATAAATAAATAAACTCTCCTCTCCTCCTAACTCAATAGACTAGACTAGACTAGACTAGACTAGACTAGAACAGGACAGGACAGGACAGGACAGGACAGGACAGGACAGGAATAGGAATAGAGTTGGAAGGGACCTTGGAAGTGTTCTAGTCCAGCATTCTTTTCAAGCAGGAGAACCTATTAATACAGTGGTGGGATTCAGCTGGTTCTGTCCGGATCGTGCGAACCAGTAGTGGCAACTGCGGGATGTTATGCCCACTCACCCGGATGTAATGTGCGACTACTGCACATGCGCAGGCTGTGTGCATGTGTAGAGGTGATGCGCATGAGCATAGCACGCATACGTGCACGCTCACATTTGCAAACCGGTAGGGAGGGTAAGTGAATCCCACCTCTGAATTAATATGAATAATTAATATACTTAATTAAAAGTATAATCTGAAATTCTTGTCTTTCATTCCTTATCAGCAAAAGTCAAACACAGGATGTCAGATACACTAATTATCTATCTCAATATTGATTGAATAAGCCAACTTTCTATTTCTTCCCTATACTTTAATAATCTTAATTCTTAATTTTTTCAAATAAAATCCCACAGCTTGCTTTTTCATCATTCTCCTAAAGATATTTCAAAACTTTAAGTCTCTTTTGTAAATTCAGTAAGAGAAATTCATCTTTATTTTTTACCACTTCTCAGAAAGGCCTTCAAGACTTTTAATAGATTTCTTTCACACATACTATAGGGAAAAAAAAACTTCCACATTTTTGGTTTAGTAGTTGTATATCTCTTTTAGGTATTGAGTCACTTTGGTGAGATTGGCGATGTAGAAATTTATTAAATAAATAAATAAATGAAATACCATCCTGTTTTAATAATTCAATACATCCTTCTCTTTCTACATTTATAAACAAGTTTGGGTTAATTTCAACATTATCCAGAATATCTTGTTCTTCTTCCGTCATAACTGTCCATTTCTCAATCATTTCTGAGAGTTTTGTAGGAAGAAATATCCTTCTGGGTTCAGCTCCAAATGGGGAAAAAGACAGTGGAAACATGGAGACTGCTTGGAAAGATGGCTTAATGGTGGACAGGATCACATGGTTTGAGTTCCTGAACAGAAAAGGGGTCAAGATACAGTGAGTCCCCAGGTTTTATGCTCTCTCTGGCTTTGAACTTCCTGGGGCCCCAAGAGTATCCTGATTGGTTGTCAGACTCCCAGGGGGTGGGGGTCTTAGCTAGCCTTGCTGGCTGATGTAATCTTCCCAGGTGCCATGTGGTGAGTTTCTGTCCTAGATGGGTCCTATTGTGTTGCAGATGATGGTCTTTTGACAAAGATTGAGTTTCTGCCTCTGGCCCATTAACAAAAGGGTGGGGGCAGGAAGGTGGGAGCTGCTTTGTCTTTATAACATGCTTCTCCATTTCTCATCCAGGGAAACATAATATTCTGCCTTTTTAATATTTCCCAAAATATTTCATTCTTCTAGGAAAGGGGTGGGTGCTAACTTCCTACAGTTTCAATGACCATTTGTCAAAAATTTTCATAATTTTTTCATGGTATTTCATCAAACAGTTCATTGTTAAAATATTTCCTTCCATTCTTTTGTTATCTTCTAGTTCCCTCTAGTGTCCAACTCTAACATCCAACAGTCCCATTATTTTGTTTTGACTAGCGAAGGAGAATAAACAATGCCACTTTCTCTCAAGAATTTTTCCAAAAACTTATAACTCCAAGTCCATATGAATGTTAATCATTAGAGGAGGTGCTGAGCTTTGGAACAGAATATTGATAGAATTGGAAATATTGAATGGGTTACAGGAAGGCATGCAACCGGGAAGGGAAAAGAGAGGGGGAGGGCTCCTGCCAGGAATTAGGATTCATTGATTCCTCTTCACAGCATCAGTGTTACTCCAACACACCTCAACAGGTGAAGAACAAATAGCTGCATATCTGTCTGTCTGTCTGTCTGTCTGTCTCTCTCTCTCTCTCTCTCTCTCTCTATTTAAAAATATATGGCTGCCCACTCACTCTCAGTGACTTCGGGTGGTTTACAAAAATTAAAACCCAATATATAAAAACAATAACCGCCCCCCCCCACACACACACACTGCTGGTGACAACAATAAATCAGATAAAGCCATTTGATAGGCTCCATCCCACTCTGGGTTCTCCAGGCTCATTGGCAAAACCAGGATTTCAGGACCTTATGAAAGAGTGTCAAAGTAGGGGCCAATCTAATCTCCACGGGGGGGGGGTAATGTCCAAAGGGAGGGAACCACCATGGAGAGGGCCCTTCTTCTGGGTCCCACCAGATGTACCTCATTAGGAGAGGGAGCCATAATGTTCCCTGCCTCCCCACTCTGCTGGGTTGGGTAAATATTTCCAGGAAGAGACAGTCCTTCAAATCAGCAGTCCGCCCACCTTTTTGAAACCAGTTTCGTGGAAAACAATTTTTCCACAGACCGGGGCAGTGGGGGAATGGTTTTGCATGCTACCTAGATCCTGTGCATATGCAGATGAAACTTCATTTGCTTGCGTGGGCTGGTTACTAACAAGTGGCAAACCAGTACCGGTTTGAGGCCCCGGAGCTGGACACCCCCTACTTCAAATAACCTGGTTGCAAGCCTTGTAGTGCTTTAAAGATAACCAGCACCTTGAATTGGACCTGGAAGAAAATCCACTGCTCCCACAGGAGAGATTACACCTGTGCACATCTGGGTCTGCATGAAACCATGTGGGCTGCTGCATTTTGAACCAGTTGGAACGTCAAGATATTTTTCAAGGGCATATGCATGTGTGTGTGGGGGGGGTATATATATGCATAATGGTTATCTTTTGAGAGCTCTATGTAACAAAATTTCATTTTAATCTGCTAAAATACTAAAATTAGTATGATTAGTGTACATTAAAACAATAAAATTCTATTCTATTCTATTTTCTATATAGCAATTGGAACACCCCATTTCACAAATTAAACAGGAGTATGTGTTAAGATGCTTCTAGAAGATATACCTTTTAAAGAAAAACTTTTTTGCTTCAAGGTTATGGATTTTATACGTATACCAATTTAATGGGCTGTTTGAGGTCTTGAAATGCACATTTTCTGCATTCCTACAATGTACTTAACCTAGTTACTAAATTAATCTGGGTTTGCACAATATGGTTATTACATTTATCTCCTACTGCAATAAAATGGCTTAGGGCCAGGGTACTTACGGGACCGCCTTCTGCCACCAATAGCCTCCCACCGGCCGGTTCGCTCCCACAGAGAGGGCCTCCTCAGGGTGCCGTCGGCCAGACAATGCCGGCTGACGACCCCCAGGAGGAGAGCCTTCTCTGTGGTGGCACCTACCCTATGGAACAATCTACCCCCAGAGATACGAGTGATCTCCGACCTCCGGATTTTTCGTCGGGCCCTAAAAACTCATTTTTTTCAACTAGCCGGTCTGTCCTGATTTTAGGGTTAGTTTTAAAATTTTTAAAATTTTAATATTTATTTTAATTGACAAGTTTTAAATTATGAGCCAAATTTATAAATTATCTTAATTCTATTTTAATTGTGATGTTTGTATAGATGTTTTTTATCTGGCTGTTCACCGCCCTGAGTCCGAAAGGAGAAGGGCGGTATAGAAATGCGAATAAATAAATAAATAAATAAATAAAAATAAAAAGTGAATCATGCTAACTCCTCCCCTAATAAAAAACAGGATGAATGTTAACCAAGCTTGGCATGTTTGTGTAGCTACATTCTGTATTTTTACTACATGGGGGTTGGACTAGAGACCTCCAAGGTCCCTTCCAATTCTGTCATTCCATTCCATTCTTCCATTCCCTTCCCTTCCAATAAAAGGTACCCAAAAAAGATTCCGTTCCACCGCCAAGAAAACCTGATCACCTTGATCAGAGGGGTGGACTAGAAGACCTCCAAAGTCCCTTCCAGCTCTATTCTGCATTTGATGGCATCCTAACTCCCCCCCCCACCGCCCCCCCATTGCTTCCTCCCTGCTCTGAGGCGATTCCCTCAGGCAGAAGACGACTGAGGGAGGCTCCGACTTTTCCCGCCCAAACCTGACAGACCCGCTTCTTTTCTTCTATTGGCTGCCAGGGGGTCAGGTGTCTCTCTCTCGCTCTCTGGCCACGCCCCCAGCAGCCTTCTTCAGACGAGAGGTGGGGCTCTTCTCCCTCCGCCAGCTTCGCCGAGAACAGCCCCTCCTCTCGTCTGAAGGAGGCTGCTTGGGGGCGTGGTCAGAGAGAGCCACCTGACTCCCTAACAGCCAATAGAAGAAAAAAAGAGGGTCTGTCAGGTTTGGGCGGGAAAAGTCGGAGCCTGTGGTGGATAAACAGGTGAATCTGACAGGATTCTCTTTCTTCCCGCCAGATTTATCGGTTAACACACACACACACACAAACACACGTACTCGCCTAGAGGCACCCCAAACTCTGACCTATGAGATCCCCGGAACGGCCGTGGGTGAGGCTAAAGAGGCCCTGTCGGTCTCCCGGGGAGATTCCCAGGGACTGAACAGCCTTCCCTTCGACTTCAAAAGGTGGGTCCATCCTGTCTCTTCAGCTGAACGGGGCCCGGCGTGGGTCTCGGAGGGTCTTTCCAGAGAGGCAGAAGTCTTCTTTGGAGGTGGGTTTCTACTACCAGCAGCCTTGCCGGGAAGAGAAGATGGGCTCCCCCTTGTTTTCATGCAGACATTTCATTACCCAACTAGGTAACATCTTCAGTGCTGGAAGGGATATGTTCTCCCTTTACATACAGTGGCCTGTTCTGTCAGGGTTGGTGAGAGTGTTGTTTTCTTTTTGGCAATTCCTTAATTAGGCTGTTGCTTACTGCTGGCATGTTTGCTTGAGTTTGGTAGTTCCTTGTGTGGGAAGCCATTCACCCCAGAAGAATGAAATATTTTGAGAAATATTAAAAAGGCAGAATATTATATTCCACTAACGGGAGAAATGGAGGAACATGCTCTTAAAGACAGAAAGCAGCCCCCAGTTTTTCTTAATAGCCCACAGCAGATGCTATCAGTTAAGGAGATAAAGAGCTTATTGAAAGAAGATAAGCAAAGCAAATACTGCAGGCAGAAATCCATGCAAGACAGGATATTTCAAAACTCCTTGGCAGAATGGTAGGATTAGAAAGCAGCTCCTCGTCCAAGATCCACAATTGTTAAGCGAATGACTGCAGTTGTTAAGTTAGTCACACAGTTGTTAAGTGAATCTGGCTTCCCCGTTGACTTTGCTTGTGAGAAGGTCGCAAAAGGGGGATCACATGACCCTGGGACACTGCAATCGTCATAAACATGAACCAGTTGCCAAGTGTCTGAATTTTATCATGTGACCATGGGGATGCTGCAACTGTCATATGTGTGAAAAACGGTCCTAGGTCATTTTTTTCCAGTGCCATTGTGACTTTGAACGGATCACTAAATGAACTGTTGTAAATCAAGGACTACCTATAATGATTTAATACTCTACAATCAAGAAACTAACATATTCTGTAATTCCACCTTTTCATCTATATCTGAACTCAGCTGTCATTAGCCTGCATGGTGGGGTCACTTGCCCAGACAAGAAATTTACAAAAAGGAAATGTAGAAAGTTAGCACCCACCCCTCTCCTAGAAGAATGAAATGTTTTAGAAAATATTAAAGAGGCAGAATATTATATTTCCCTAAAGGAGGAATGGGGAAACATGCTCTTGGACAGGGGTGAAATCTACTTACCTTCCCTACCGGTTCAGAATTGCGTACACCATCGTCATGTCTGATTTTTTACCCTCTGCGCATGTGCAGAAGGCTTTGTGCATGCACAGAGGATTAAAAATCAGGAAGTACCGGCGTCCGGGCGGGTGGGCGGAGCCTCACGCTGCCGCCGCTACCAGCTCATGCAAGCCAGACAGATTTCACCACTGCTCTTGGAGACAGAGAGCAGCCCCCAAGTCTTTCTTAATAACCCCAGCAGACATTTAGGTGCCCATTAAGAAAGATTGGGCCAAACTGAGGAGGCCACCTTTTAGAAATGCAGATTTGGTAATCCATTCAAGACAGGATATTTTGAAACAAAGGCAGGTAGGATTAGCCTTCACTAGAGATCCAACATAGGGGCAAAGCCATTAAGTCACAATAGGAATTGTCTAACACTCCTTCAGAACACAGGCCCCTTCATTGCATCACCCCCATCAAGCTTCAACCAAATCTGGGAGCTCAGGCAACCTATGGAGCCCACTATGACCCCTACATAACCCCTACAACAGCCAATAGAATACATGTTCTACCACAGGAACAGGAAGCTCAAGTGCAAAGCTCAAGAGAAAGTATAACCCCCCCCCCCAACTCCATGTGGTCAGCTGCACAGAATCACATGTGGTTCTGCTTCACCATTAAACCATCTTTCCAATCGGACTCCATATTTCCAGGGTCTTTCTCTCGGCTTGGAACTGAACCAGATGGATATTTCTTCCCACAGAAATTGAAGTTGATTCACAGTTTAGGAAATTGGTATAGGAAAAGAAAATCTCGAGACACCCCCCCAAATGTGAGAAGAATGGAATGTTCCAGAACTGTAGTTGATACCAAATCCCCAACACACAGAATATCAGCATTTTGTAAAAAGTTGGAACAATAGTAATAAAACACCACATATTCCAACTCTTAAATGACTTTTTTTTTTTAAAAAAATGATATTTAATATTGGTTCCTAATTTCTCTTTAGAACATTTCCATGTCTTCTACTTCTCAAGTTCTGTGTAGTTTTTAAAACCTGGCACTATTATGGGTAGGCACTATTATGGGTAGGCATACCTTTCCAAGATATGCCAGAATTTCCAAGATTTCCGCTGCCGATGGCTGCCTCGGTGAAATGCTCTGTAATGGTTTCTTTATTTTTTATTATTCTCTGCAATTCACTACGGATTTCATACTCAGGAGACCATCTGCTAAGAATCAAGCAATGTTTCTTTAAGGAGCAGCTTTCTGAGACCTCTTACACACACTGTCTTTACAAACGCGGAAGGGATTCTAACAGGAAGAAACAAATTCCCCAGAGCAATGGATTACCAAAAACAAATGGCTTCCCTCCCCACCCAAGCGGGCTTCTTGCGTGGCTCCAGCCTGCGGCACTAATGCACGTCCATGATCCGTAGCGCCTGGCCAGCTCGGGCACCCCAGAAGAGCAGCAGCAGCAGGAGGGAAAGGGGCAGGAGCAGCCGGCCAGCCGGGGGCAAGGTGATGGCAGTGGTTCTCTTCCGGCATTCCAGCCGGAAGCGGCAGTGTGAGAACCGTCCTCGTCACCGACTGGCCGGTAGCTCCTGCCCCTCGCCCTGCCGCTGCTGCGGCTCTGTGTTGGTCTGATGATCCGAAGGCCGCCTTCCCTCTCTCCCTTGTTGTTCTGCTTTCTGTCCCACACATCTGCCCAATACTTCCTGAAAGCCTTAACCGCCTGGGTGCCTTTAAAGCAAGGCTCCGGGAAAATATTGAGGAGCCCAGGAAGGATCTCTCTCTTGCCTTGCCGCTCTTCCTCTCTTAAGGTTTCCGGGGGTTCCTTTCGTCGCCTTTACTTTTCTTCCAGAAATCGTGACAAGGAAAGGCTTCGTCTCCTGCCTCCCACATCCACCCTCCCTTCCATGCATTGATAACATTGTGCATTGTGATCCTCAATGGTGATCAGGACATGTTCTCCGGGTTTTGCTTCTTTTTAAATGGAGGAAAGGCCTGCTGGTGAGTTAGGGTTGAGGGAAGCAATCTCTCCATTCGAGATGGCCAGCTGGCCCTTCCCATTCAGGAATGCTGCGCTGGGCAAGTTCACCCCACCGCCCCTTGCAGGCCTACCTGCTCTCGCTCCTCTTCTCCACGACCTACCTGCAGACCATTTGCTCCTTGGATGCCTCGAGCCCAAGAAGCTGAAGAGAAAGGCGGGTTCCCTTCCTGGAGGATTAAGTGGATAAAGGCACTTCCTCTCCAGCTTGCAAGGGCTCTGGCCACTCCAGGAGTTCAGGCGGGCTTCATTCCGCCACCTTTGTGCCCATGGGGAAGCGAAGCAGCCGGCCTACTTTCGCTTTGGGTCACTCCAACGGAGGCACCTGTTTAGTTTAAGTGCTGGGTGCAAGTCCCAAGCAGAACATGGAGAGGGGTTTTTCAGTGGGGTTGGGAGAGAAAGAGGCTCGTCGGGTTCCTTCTGCCTCGCGTGGAGTAGGAGTCGCAGTCGGGTTGGTTCTTCGACCGCAGGAACTCCCTTGCAAGGACAGAGGCGGGGATTTGTTTTGTGTATTGAGGCCAAAGCGAAAGCACAAAAGCCAGCCTGGAACTGATGAATTTCCCTGCCTTTTCTTGCTCTTTCTGGGCCCAGCGAGAGTGGGGATTGATTTTCTTTTCTTCCACCCCTTTGCCACAGGAAACTCAAAGCTCTTTTTGGAGGGAGTGCAAAGGGAGGAAGTTTGAGTAAATTAAGAAACTTAAAGCGACCGGCCATCCAGGGGCAAGGGGGCAGCGGTGGTTCTCCAGTATCCTGGCTGCAAGCGGCAGCGTGAGAATTGCCCTCGCCCACAGCTGGCCGGTAGCTCCTGCCCCTCGCCCTCCTACTGCTGCTCTCCTGGGGCAGTGGGACTGAATAGGAGCTGAGTCCGCACCAGAGAAACCTCTGTCTGGCACCAGGGTAAGGCACGCGCTGGGTGGGAAGCAGTCGTGCTCCCTTGGCAGGCGAGAGGGCGGCGGCCGCTCTCCAGCATCCTGGCCGCAAGTGGCAGCGTGAGAACTGCTCACACCTGTGGCCGGCTGGTAGCTTCTGCCCCTTGCTCTCCACTGCCACTGCTACTCTCCTGGGGCGGTGGGGCTGCACAGGAGCTAAGTTCACGTTGGAGGAATGTCTGTCCAGTACTAGGATAAGAGGCACGCTGTCCAGGAAGTGGGTGCACTCCCTTGGCAGAAGGGATAGGAGGGGGGACTGCGCTGGCTTGTTTTTGATGGCAGCCTGGGGTGGGCGCTTCATTGACACTCTTCCGGTTTCTGGCATGTGCATGCACTCTGGCCCGCTGGCCTTTGTGCGCAAATGCGTGCCAGAAACTTGAAGACCAAGTGGCCAGTGCCAGAAACTGGCTTCTCTTCCGGTTTTTGGCATGCAGGCACAGGTGTTTTGTGTTTTTTTCCCTTGCTTCTCTTCCTTTTTGCAAATCATTAAAAGTTGACTTTAAATGTGATCAGATTAAAGTGAGGGTGTCAAACTCAATGCCCAGGGCCAAATCCGGCCTGTAGGGTGCTTAGCTCTGGCCTGCAGGGCCGTCCTGGAAACAGAAAAGGACCAGCCCACGGTGCCTCTGCCAGTGAAAACGGAGCTCGGAGGGATCGCTTGTGCCCCCACCAGGCTCCATTTTCCATGGCAGAAGGCTGCAGGAGGCCGTCGCGGATGAAAAGAGGGCACAGGAGGGTTCTGCACGCCCCCCCCGCTCCATTTTTGCTGGCAGAGGGCCAGTAAAACAAACTAAAAACAAAACAAAAGGAGAAATGTTTCCCCTTTGGCATTTGAGGATACAAGAAGGGACAGGAAAGGAGAAAGGGAAAGAGGAAAGACAAAGAAAAAGAAGGGAAGATGGGAAGAGTGCAAGGAAGGAAAAATAAGGAAAGAGGGGAAGGAAGAAGAAAGGAGAATTGAAGAGGGAAGGAAAAAGAGGAAAAGGAAGGAAGGAAGGAGATTATAATGAGAGTGAGGGCAGGTCTGAGGGGAGTCCTGCCTTAGCAGTTGGCCACTACAGGCGCCCCTGACATGCCCATCATGGCCACACACACTCCGGCCCTCTGAGGTCAAACACAACCCTGATACGGCCCTCAATGAAATTGAATTTGACACCCCTGGATTAGAGGCTCAGTTAGATGGGAGCAAGTGGAACTAGATAAATGACAAGAACATAGAGAACGACCCAATACTAATGTTGCCAGCCTGGCTGTATTCAAAAGCCCATTGTCAGGTTCCAAAAGTCTAGGAAAAAACTCAGCACACAAAAGCAGTAACCAAGTTTGTTTATCCTGATATTGGTACTAACTGACCACCTGAAAGTGTTACAGGAAGGAATCTTCGTTGGAGCTGACACTCCGTGCTCCCCATCACCTTTTCAGCAGCATACAGCTCCACCCCAGTGCAATCACTCAATTATCCAATTACCCCGTATCCCCCCTCTCCCTCCCCAATCCATCACAAGCCGCTTCAGTTGTTCCACGCTGCTCCATCTTTCCTTAAAGTGACAGATGGTGATAAACTGCTTCAGTGCATGACCCTGATGTCATCTAGCATGGGCTGGGAAGTCAAAGGGAGAGGCATGCCTCGGGGCTGACGACCCAGCAGAGCAGGCACACAGGAAGGGTCGTCAGCGAAAGTGTGCAGCAGAAGAACGGCAATCCCCACATGAATGATATAGTCAGCAGGTGCCATCGCTGACTATTAGGGGTGAATCTTTGCCCCCCACAGAGAGGGCTCGCAATCTGGGTGTCCTGGACGCATGGCTGTCTTTTGAAGAGCATATGACGGCCGTGGCCAGGGGGGCCTTTTATCAGGTTCGCCTGATTCGCCAGTTGCAGCCCTTTCTGGACCGGGATGACTTGCGCACAGTCACTCACGCCCTTGTCACCTCCCGGCTGGACTATTGTAATGCTCTCTACATGGGGCTCCCCTTGAAAAGCACTCGGAGGCTCCAACTGGTCCAGAATGCGGCCGCGCGGGTGGTTATGGGCGCAACTCATTGTGCCCACGTGACACCCCTCCTGCGTGAGCAGCACTGGCTCCCAGTGGTCTTCCGGGTGCGATTCAAGGTGTTGGTCATCACCTTTAAAGTGCTCCATGGCATAGGACCCGGGTACCTTCGAGACCGACTTCTGCCACCAATAGCCTCCCACCGGCCAGTTCGCTCCCACAGAGAGGGTCTCCTCAGGGTGCCATCGGCCAAGTTATTCCGGCTGGCAACACCCGGGGGGAGGGCCTTCTCTGTGGGAGCCCCAGTCCTGTGGAACGAACTGCCCCCGGAAGTGCGTAAGATCTCCGACCTCCGGGCATTTCGCTGTGCACTCAAGACCCTGTTGTTCCGCCAGGCCGGGCTATCAACATAATTTTAAATTGGGTGTTTTAAATTTCTGGGGTTTTAAATTGAGCCAAATTATTTAATAATTTTAAATTATTTTAATTGATGTTTGTCTTGTGCTTTTAATAGGCTGTACACCGCCCTGAGTCCCTCGGGAGAAGGGCGGTATAGAAATAAAATTATTCTTATTCTTATGAATGGTGACCCCAAGTACCGTTGTAGGGCTGGGGCTGACACCCATGTTGCAGAATGAGACCAGGTTGCATATATTTTTCTCCCACAACAAGGAGGGCTCAAGACTTGCTTTATTTTCAGGCAAAAGTTGGAGGAGGCAAACCCAGCTGCTTGATTCCCAGTATCCACAGCTGCCATTCAGGCCTGACATATGGGCCTATCGAGGAATTGCACAGATGTCAAAGGAATGAGGCTTCAGAGTGCCTCCCCAGACCGGGTCAATTTTTACATCTTTTGATCCATCGGCCAAGTGGAAGTTGAACGTTTGCACAAGGTTGCTAAAGAACAGGAAGAGCTCTGTCTTTGCCAAATTTTCTCCCAAACATGCTCGATGACCTAGGAATGGAGAGGAAAACAACAAATCAGTGCTGGCAGTGACTAATTAGGGAAGAAGTGGGGAACAAGGCCCCTTTATGATTTGTGGGCTTCAACTCCCAGAATTCCTGAGCTTTCTCAGGAATTCTGGAAGTTGAAGTCCCTCACGGCTGTCTCAGGAATTCTGGGAGTTGAAGTCCCTCACGGCTGTCTCAGGAATTCTGGGAGTTGAAGTCCCTCACGGCTGTCTCAGGAATTCTGGGAGTTGAAGTCCCTCACCTGGGATTTAAAACACTCTTGGTACAGATTACTATTCAGTGAGCAATGTTGCCAGTAGCTCTATCTTTCAGGCTCCCCATAATCAGAAGGCATGTCCATCACTAAATATATGTTTATAGCACTGTCTAAGGGGTGAAACAGGAACAGTCAATAGCAATAGCACTTAAAACTTATATATCGCTTTACAGTGCTTTACAGCCCTCTCTAAGTGGTTTACAGGATCAGCATATTGCTCCCAACAATCTGGGTCCTCATTTTACCAACCTCGGAAGGACGGAAGGCTGAGTCAACCTCGAGCCAGTTAGGATCGAATTGCTGAACTGCTGGCAGTCGGCAGTCAGCAGAATTGGCCTGTAATACTGCATTCTAACCATTGCGCCACTGGGGCTCTAATGCATCTCATTAAAGAATCAATGAAAATGTTAGCAAGTTGAATGAGCACCTATAGAAAATGGGATGAAAGCTTCTGGGCAGGTGAAATTCCTGTCCTTGTCAAGGAAATGGTTTGGGTCGAATGTGAGGGGTGCCTCCCATTCGTTGGGATCATACAATGCCGACGCCATGTTCGGGAAAAAGGTGGTACCCTGTCAAAAAGAGAAGGAGGACTTAAGTTTTGCCTTTCACCCTGAGGGAAGAAAAAAAATGGTTATATCTGCTGGCAACGGAGGTCGAAGTGAGAAATCCCTAGGCAATTTCATCAACGATACATGTGATTAAAGAACACTCTTCTAAAAAATATAAATAGGCTTAGAATTTAGAATAACAGAGTTGGAAGGGACTTCAGAGGTCTTCTAGTCCAACCCCCTGCTCAGGCAGGAAACCCTACATCACTTCAGACAAATGGTTACTCAACATCTTCTTAAAAACTTCTAGTGTTGGAGCATTCACAACTTCTGGAGGCAACTTGTTCCATTAATTAATTGTTTTCACTGTCAGGAAATTTCTCCTTAGTTCTAGGTTGCTTCTCTCCTTGATTAGTTTCCACCCATTGCTTCTTGTCCTGCCCTCAGGTGCTTTGGAGAATAGCTTGACTCCCTCATCTTTGTGGCAGCCCCTGAGATATTGGAACATTGCTATCATATAACCCGTAGTCCTTCTCTTCACTAGACTAGACAAACCCAATTCCTGCAACTCTTCTTCCTATGTTTTAGCCTCCAGTCCCCTAATCATCTTTGTTGCTCTTCTCTGCACTCTTTCTAGAGTCTCAACATCTTTCTTATATCATGGTGACCAAAGCTGGATGCCATGTGGCCTTCCAGGTGTGACCTTACCAAGGCCTTATAAAGTGGTATTAACACTTCACGTGATCTTGATTCTATCCCTATGTTTATGCAGCCTAGAACTGTGATGGCTTTTTTTGGCAGCTGTTGCACACTGCTTTAGGTTAAACAACAGTCATTATTTTTTTAAAAAAAAACAACAACGGGATCCTATTCTAATAAACCTAATTTTTGGAGCTGAATTTGGCTGATCTAAAAAAAATTAAGCAGGTTGGGATGATGGATGAGATGAGAAATCATCAGGAAATCTATCTGAGCTCAATGTCTGTGGAGATTCTCAGTCATCCTGGTTATGGTTTTCCCAAAAGTGCTTTTTCAAAAGGCAACTGGACTTTCTTTGTTTTTGCTTGAAGATATTTCGCGTCTCATTGAAGAAGCTTCTTCAGCTCTGACTTCCCCACCATCCAGTGGGGAATCGGGAATGACTAATCGTGATTCATGTGTTTGGCAACTGGCTCACAATTACGACGGTCGCAATGTCCTGCCGTTTGCAACCTTCACTGCTGGCTTCTGACAAGCAAAGTCAGTAGGAAAGTTGACAGGAGTTCACAAATGTCAATCATGTGACATTGCACCTAATGACTGCATAGAATTCACCTAATGAGCATAACAGGAATTGCCAGGATCGCCGCTGTAAGTGGATGGGGTCCCGTGACGTTGCGCTTAACAACAGAGTCCTCGGTCCAATTACCATCGTTAACCGACAACTCCCTTTATTGCATGTGCTTCGTTCTAGCAATAGGGGGAGGAGAAGAAAAGAAGGCTTCAGATCAGAGGGATTCGATTACCTTTCTAATGTGAAACTTCTGGATCTTTGTGTCTCTTATGCAGAATTTGGGTATTCCAATCGAAATGATGTTGCTAAAGCGCTGGATTTCGTGAATCACAGCATTTGTGTACGGAAGTTTCTTGCGATCCTCGTAACAGATCGACTGGCCCGGTGTTAGGAGGGTATCTATTTCCTTTTGAACTTTGGCTGTGGAGAAACAAAGATTTTGCACATTAACTAGAGCTAGGATTGAATAAGCATCCAGGAGTTGTCCCAGCTGTCCATGGTCTATTAATGGCAGAAGCTCAGCCTAGCAGGAGGGAATGATCTAGACCAGGGGTGTCAAACTTGATTTCATTGAGAACCGCATCAGGGTTGTGTTTGAGCTTGGGGGCTATGTGGGCATGGCCAGGGTGGGCATGGCTGCGATGGGTGTGCCTGGTGTGGGCATTTTTTAAATATATTTTTTATTTTTTTTTTATTTTGGATTTATATACCGCCCTACTCCCGAAAGACTCAGGGCGGTGAACAGCCACAGAATAAAACACATAAATACAAAAATTTAAAATAGAATAAAAACGAATTAAATAATTTGGCTGAGAGGAATTTAAAATACCCAATAATTTAAAAACAAATTAAAATTTACATTTAAAAGGGGAAAAGATTTAGGCCAGGCCAGCTTGATGAAATAAAGTTTTGAGCGCGCGACGGAAGGTGCGCAGATCCGGGATCCTCCGTATCTCCGGGGGGAGCTCGTTCCAGATCGTAGGTGCCCCCACATACAAGGCTCTCCCCCTAGGGGCCGCCAGTCGACATTGTTTGGCCGACGGCACCCGGAGGAGACCTCTCTATGGGAGCATACTGGCCGGTGGGAGGCTATTGGTGGTAGCAGGCGGTCCCGTAGATAACTAGGTCCTAAGCCATGGAGCGCTCTAAAGGTGATAACCAAAACCTTGAAGCGCACCCAGAAGACCACCAGGAGCCAGTGCCGCTCACGCAGGAGAGGTGTTACATGGGAACGCCACATCGCTCCCATAACCACCCACGCGGCCGCACTCTGTGCCAGTTGGAGCCTCCAAGTGCTCCTCAAGGGGAGCCCCATGTAGAGAGTGTTACAATAGTCCAGGCGGGAGGTGACGAGGGCATGAGTGACTGTGTGTAAGGAGTCCCGATCTAGAAAGGGACGCAACTGGTGAATCAGGCGGACCTGATGAAAAATCCTCCCGGTCATGGCCGTCAAGTGTTCTTCTAAAGACAGCCGTGAATCCAGGAGGACGCCCAAGTTGCAAGCCCTTTCCGTGGGGGCCAATGATTCGCCCCCAATATTCAGCGATGGCACCAGCTGACTATATCGGAATGTCGGAAACCACAGCCACTCGGTCTTGGATGGGTTGAGCCTGAGCCTGTTTCTCCCCATCCAGTTGGTATGACCAACTCGACATCACTAGTGTCAGGGACACCAGTGGGGGAATCCATTGTCTCCAGTAGAGGAAGGTAAGGCCCTTGCTGTCCCTCTCAGGCCACACGGAGGCCCCCCAGATTGTGGCGTAGGCTGTCCAGAGCCCTAGGCAGTGGAGGACAAGCACACAGCCTGGCCCTCGAGCTCCCAGGGCATGGGGGACCCCACAGCCCAGCCCCATTTCCCTGAGGGGGTACCCAGCTGCACTTCTCAAGGCTGCTGCTGCTGATCTCACTCTCCTTGGCCAGGTTGCTCATGGTGGGTGTGGAAGGGCCAAGGCCCACTCCCTCTCCATGCAAGGAGACCCAGCTTTGTAACTAAAGCATCCACAGCGATAGGATGGGAGACCACCAAGAGAGGCCAGGAGGAGAGGGCAAGGGGATGGTGAAAGGGCAGCAGGGCTGTTGGTGGCCAAGTGCTAAGGCAGGACTTTCCTTCCTTCCTTCCTTCCTTCTTCCTTCCTTCCCCTCTTTCCTTCTTTTTCCTTTCTTCCCCTCTTCCCTTCTTTTTCTTTGTTTTGTCTCTTTCCCTTTCTCCTTTCCTGTCCCTTCTTAGATGCTCAAATGCAAAACAGTTTTCCTTTTGTTTTGCTTTTAATCTGCTTTGCTAGCCCTCTGCCAGCGAAAATGGAGCCCCAACCGCCAGGCTCCGTTTTCGCTGGCAGAGGCCTGCGGGCCAGTCCTTCGCTGTTTCCAGGGTGGCCCCACGGGCCTGTATCCAGACTTCTGGGAGGCCCGTTTTTCGTCTTACCAGAGCCTCCGCGTGGGCGCTGCACTTACCTGGCATCCAAAACGGGCCACGTGGAGACTACTGGGAGGGGCAGGGTGGGGTAGGCCAGTCCTTGCAACTACCAGTTCAGCAAACCAAATGTAAAATTAGCATCTGATTCACACAAACTGGTCCAAACCGGCTGAATCTCACTCCTGGAACCAAGGTTGTTCCCACCAGGTACTGGGGAGGCATGGACTGAAGCCAGCTGGAGTTGGGACTGTAACCTGCTTGGGTCATGTGATGGACTTGTCGAGTGGGGGAAGGGGGGAAGAACTTTGATTTCTAATTTGGGTGGGGTCTTCAGAATTGGGTTTTCACCCGATGTGCCAATATGAGATGCCTAATAAATTTGGACTTTGAGGAGTGCCTTGGCCTCGGAGTTTTGATTGCATTGGGTCTGTTACTTGAAACCCTGACAATCACATGATCAAAATTGGGGCCTTTCTTTGCAACTGGCATTGCTTTACAGTGGGTGCAGCCCAGGGGTGAAATGCTCCCGGTTTGGACCGGATCGCCTTATCCGGTAGTGATGGAGGCGGGTGGTTCGGAAAACTGGTAGCAAAAATCCCTGCCCCCCCCGCCCCGCGGCCAGCTGAGCCACGCAATCATCAGAGGCTTTTTTTTTAATTTTTAAAAGCATTTTTTCTACAACCTCTTCAGCCGAAAAAATGCTTTTAAAAATTTAAAAAAAAAGCCTCTGATGATCGCACGGCTCAGCTGGAATCCTCAGAGGCTTTTCAAAGCATTTTTTTCTACAACCTCTTCAGAGGTTGTAGAAAAAATGGCTTTAAAAGCCTCTGACGATCCCAGCTGATTTGCCTGATCAGCAGAGGCTTTTTTTCTTTTAAAAGCTTCTGACGATCCCAGCTGATTTGCCTGATCAGCAGAGGCTTTTTTTCTTTTAAAAGCTTCTAACGATCCAAGTTGCCTGATCAGCAGAGGCTTTCTTTTTCTTTTAAAAGCCTCTGATGATCCAAGCTGAGTTGCCTGATCGGCAGAGGCTTTTTTTCTTTTAAAAGCCTCTGACAATCCAAGCTCAGTTGTCTGATCAGCAGAGGCTTTTAAAAGAAAAAAAAGCCTCTGCCGATCAGGCAACTCAGCTGGGATCGTCAGAGCCTTTTGAAAGCATTTTTTTACAACTTCTTCCCCGAAGAGGTTGTAGAAAAAATGGTTTTAAAAGTAAAAAAAAAAAAAAATTGGCCACGCCTACCCAGTTACATTACCTCCCCCCACCAAGCCACGCCCACAGAACCGGTAGTAACAAATTTTAGATTTCACCACTGGTGCAGCCTCCTGGGCTCATGTGATTTGCAATCTTCCCCAGATGCCTTCTGACAAGCAGTCAATGGGGGAAGCCAATGTGCTTAACCACTGTGATTCACTTAATGCCCAATGGTTCACTTAATGACCATGGCAAAAAAAAAAAAAAGGTCTTGAAATCAACTCGCCTAAAAGCCATCACCCAGAGAAGAGTTCAAGTCCCGTTTGTGATCGCATATCAAGGACTACCATTCATTCAGCGGGTTTAAACTGGCGACTGAATTAACTACTTTTTAATTCCACTTTTTTTTCATGTTCAACCGAAAATAGTGAATATACTCTAATACTCCTTCCTCCTCTTTGGAGGTTTTTAAGAACTGGAGGTTTTTAAGAAGAGACTAGACAGTCACTTATCTGAAAGGGTATAGGTTCGCCTGTTTGAGCAGGGGGCTGGACTAGAAGACCGCCAAGGTTCCTTCCAGCTCCTATTCTATTCTATTCTATTCTATTCTATTCTATTCTATTCTATTCTATTCTATTCTATTCTATTCTATTCTATTCTATTCATTCTTATTTTCCTCAGAACCACAACCCTGGGATTTGGGCTGAGAGAGTGACTGGCCCAGAGTCACCCAGTCAGGTTTGATGCCTAAGGCAGAAGTAGGAATACCAGTTTCCTTGTTTCACACCTGGTATCTTAACCACTAAAAGTTAAAGGTTTCCCAGTGAGTCATGTCCAACTCTAGGGCATGGTGCTCATCTTCCGTTTCTTGGCCGAAGGAGCCAAGAGAATTTCTGTGGTTGTGACCAGCATGACTATATGCCGAAGGTGCACAAAACATGGTTACCTTCCCAATTGAAGTGGTACTTATTTATCTACTCGCACTTGCATGCTTTGGAACTGCTAGCTCGGCAGAAGCTGAGGCGAAGGACGGGAACTCACCTGTCCCACAGAATTCAGGTCTCGAACCTCTCCAGCTGACAAGCTCAGCACCTTTAACCATTAGTTCTTAACCACCATTTGGTCTTAACCACTAGACCAAACTAAATAAGGGTTACCATATTTTTCGGAGTATAAAATGCACCGGAGTATAAGACGCACCTTAGTTTTGGGGGAGGAAAATAAGAAAAAAGCTGATTGGCAGGTGGATCGGCCTCCCGGAATACCCCCAATCAGCTGTTAACAGAGGTGAATTTTAGCAACAGGTTCCTTGGTTGTGAGCTCTGTGCCTTGCTTTTTTTTTTTTTTTTTTTGCTTATTTTTCTGCCTCTGAAACTTCTGAAACGCCATTTCAGAAAAAACTTTATTTTCTGCTTCTGAAAGCCTCCGAAACAGAGCTTCAGAAAAAAAGCCTCTGAAGCTCTGTTTGGGGGCTTTTTTTCTGAAGCTTCGTTTCTAATGCTTTTTTCAGCCTCTGAAACCTCCGTTTGAGAAGCTGGGCAGGGCTACATTCAGAGTATAAGACGCACCCAGATTTTCACCCTCTTTTTTGGGGGGAAAAGATGTGTCTTGCACTCCAAAAAATACGGTAGTTCTCAGCCATAATATTCCGAAGGCCATTCCCTTCAGATAAGCTCTCAACAACCCTTGAATCAGCAGAAAATTTTACCAACATATAATTTGCTATTGCTGGTCCTTATCCAATCACAGACACAAGACAGCGAATATGTCCTACTTAAATTCAGGGCATATTAAAGATAAGGGTTAGTGAATTCTCCTGGCACTTTCTCACTCTCCACCTACCAAATGACATGCTCTAGTAGGAAAACATCCAGCTATCTTTCGCCTTGAGGTTAGGGTGAGGCTGTGAAGAGGACAAATTTTGACACATATCTTGCTCAGCCCATTAAGCAGTCTGTCAGAATGTGCTCTGGATTTGCCCACACATTTTACACAACTGGCATCTCCATTGGGATCTGGATTTAGGGCTCCTCTGGTAGAGCACTAAACCCTTTGTGCTTTATTTTAAAAATCAACTTCCATGAGGGTCAGCTTATCTTTCAGTTGGAGGCCTCCTTCCCATGCTTCAAAGAAGTTTTTCTTAGAATGTATTGTCTCAGGAGCTCTTCCCGCTTTTAAAAAAAGTATAGTAAGGGGGTTAAGAGATTGGACAGCCACTTGTCTGAAATAGTATAGGGTCTCCTGCTTGAGCAGGGGGTTGGACTAGAGAATCTCCAAGATCCCTTCCAACTCTGCTATTCTGTCATTCTTACCCCTGTCAAGTTATTCCTGACTCCATCTCCCTTTCTTAGCTGAGGAAGCCAGCATTGTCCAAAGACACTTTCATGGCCATCTGGCTGGCATGATTACATGCCAATGCGCATGGAGCGCTATTACCTTCCCGTTGAAATGGTACTTATTTACTTGCATTTGCATGTTTTCAAACTTAGGCGGGCAGGAGCTGAGGCGAGGAGGGAAGCTCACCCCGTCGCACAGTGTTCGGGTCTCGAACCCAGGATGTCAGTTTTCCAGCTGACAGGCTCAGCATCTTTAACTACTGAGCCATCTCGCCTCCCCACCCCAATGTATGGCAGACTCCCCAAAAGCTTTTGTTTGTATGAGTTCTGTATTTATTGCTATTTGCTGTATTAAAAATAAAAATTGGGGCATCGAATGCCACGCCTGCTTCTCACAATTGTTTGATGGGATTTTAGATTTGTATTGTTTTTCAACTTAAATTGGATTTTGATTGGTAATGTGGTTTTCCCAGACCCCTGATAAAGTCTTGGAGATCCCTGATAGTCCTAACACCATACTTTTAAGATACAGGTTTATTTGTTTTAGAAAATAGCTGAGATTGACTGTGTTTCCCCTAAGTTTCAAGCCACTTCTAAGCAATTTCTGAAGCATGCATAACTTGCCTTCAGAAGTTGTGAGTACTTCAACACTTTTAAGTGGCTTTTAAGAAGGGACTGGACAGCCATTTGTCTAAAATGGTGCAAATGCTGCTTGAGCAGGGGGTTCGACTAGAAGACCTCCAAGGTCTCTTCCAGTTCTGTCATTCTGTAATATTGCATATGTGTAATATTGCATAAGATCCTTGAGATTGCATGAGTCTACATTGCATTAAAAATCTATAGATAAGTAATTAGCTTTTCAGAAGAGTGAACAGGTGTTAATCAAAGCATACACTGCCATTGGTCTAGGATGCTAAAAAGAGGTTATCTTGGGTGTGCTTGGAACATCCTAAATATTTGCTGAGTTTACCCAAGAGTAAACAGGTAGCCTTTCCCAATTCCTCACATGCCCATCACCCTCTCTGGAGTATATGTTCTCATCATGCCAGTGGCCTGAACAGACAAAGTTGAACCTTGCTTGGGCCATCTGATACTTAGAATGAGAAATAACATCTTGACATTTGGATAATTTTGAGTGTCAACTCGCAAAGCATCCCTGGCCTGCACGAGTTGCCATAGGCAAGGGGGATGGGAAACTGACGAAACAGCACAGCAGCCAAAGACAGATGCACATTCCAGACTTATCTCTCTCAAGGCTGTCTCCCAGTGTTACCCACAGCGGCTGGAGGGGAGTGATCTCTACAACTCACAAAATTTCTCCGTTGGCCAATGTGATTGATGACATACCCTGGGGGGAGGGGGAAAACAGGGTCATGATTGGGGCGTAAATTACCTGGGGTCAGGGCTGGCTTCACTTGGGAACATGCCGACATGAAGCTCTTAATAAATAACTGGATTTCTTTTGAAGCTTGGTTCGAGGCTCATTATTTAATTAGGGCATCCATTGGAACCCTGATATTGAGTACAGGTAGTCCTTGAATTATGACCATTTGTTCAGCGACTGTTGGGAATTACGATGGTGCTGAAGAAAGTGACTTATGACCCCTGCCTGAAGTTACACTTGCTGTGGTGCTCCTTGAGATAACGTTAACAAAATTTGGGTGCTCGGTAATCCACCTGCCCTTATGACCAACTCCACCACTCCGGAGGCATCCTATGCTGCACTTAATAACCCAGATGGTCATTTAACAACTGCAAGGAGGAGAGGAGGGATTGGGGTCCTTAAACGAGGTGATCGCATGCGCACCTCGCTTAACAAATGTCATGACTTGAGACTATAAGGAGCAGCCTCCATTATGATTGTAAATTGAGGACTACCTTTAACTAAAGAATTCTTTCAATAATAATTGTCAATTGCAGATGAAGATGAAGATGCTACAAGTAGCATAGATAGGTTAAAAAGGTCCTTCTATCTCATCCATCCCATGATGCTTCTCTCACCTTGAATGTCAGGATAAAGCACCATATATAACAATCCCCAGTGGAGAGTGGTGCCTGATGTCTCTGTCCCCCCCAGGAAGAGATCAAAGATGCTCTGAACCATGTTGTTTTCATCATAGGGTGATTTGTGTTGGTTCTTCATCTGCAGAACAAAAATGGAGAAATGAATACCTGAGAAATCTTGAAGGTCATCTCTTCCTTCCAGTCCTTGCCTGTTGCAATACATATTAGAATCTATTTTGTATTGTAACAATTACAGAATCATTCAGCTAGGAGATGGCAGTGTTTAGTTTGCATCTATGGTTATAATCTATGGTTCTATTTGTTCTGAGGAGAGTTTCCTGTTTCCTGTTACGGTTTAAAACAGTTGAGCAGTAAAGCATATGGTGACTGTACTCTTTGTTTGCTCTGTGGTACTACCCGTGTTTCCCCAAAAATAAGATCAGTATACAATATACAACAGGGAGGAGAGGTACCTCCAACTTGGAAGACAGCTTTTATTTCTTTGATCCCAAAAGAGGGTCAAGATCATACAGATCCAAAAAACTATAGGCCGATTTCACTTTTAAATACAGACTACAAGATTTTTGCTAAAATATTAGCAAATAGATTAATGACAGTTATGCAGCAAATGATTCATCATGATCAAACTGGTTTTATAAATGGTAGACAAATGAAAAGTAATGTAAGGCAAATTGTTAATTTACTAGAGTATTTGGGGAGGAACAACGAGATCCCCACAGTGCTAGTATTTTTGGATACTGAGAAAGCCTTTGACAGACTGAATTGGCATTTTCTATTGAAATTAACAGAAAGGATGCAACTTGGAGAACATTTTATACAATCTATTAAGGCAATATATCAGAAACAAACAGCGCAAATAATAATTAATGGTGGTTTAACAGATATTTTTAATATAGAAAAAAGAACAAGGCAAGGCTGTCCCTTGTCTCCATTGTTGTTTATTTTGATGCTGGAAATTTTACTGAATAAAATACGTGGGACAGATACAATAAAGGGAATTAAAATTAGACAGCATGAGTATAAGTTACGAGCATTTGCGGATGACCTGGTTGTTACCTTAGCCCAACCAGCACAATCAATTACAGCCTTGATGGATATAATTAACCTATATGGACAAGTATCTGGTTTTAAAATAAATACAGCTAAAACAAAGATAATAGCTAAAAATATGACTAGAAGCAAAAAACATGAGATAGAAAGGGTAACAGGATTTGAGATAGTAAAGAAGGTTAAATATTTAGGGGTTTATATTATGACCACAAATATGAAACTATATCAGCACAATTATGAACCATTGTGGCAAAAAATACAGAAAGAGATGGAAAAGTGGAAAAAATTACAATTGTCTTTGCTGGGAAGGATAGCGGCAGTAAAAATGAATGTCTTACCAAGATTTTTATTTTTTTTTCAAATGATACCTATACTTAAAAAAGATGAAAACTTGAAGGAATGGCAGAAGAGTATAAATAAGTTTGTGTGGGCAGGGAAGAAACCAGTAAATCAAAAGATAATGCAAGATACATGAGAAAGAGGAGGTCTTAAAATGCCCAATTTTAACTGCCCTATCAGCAGTTACTGTTTGGATAAATTTAACGGAGGAAAGGATATTAAACACTGAAGGATATGGTCTGGTTTACGGCTGGCATGCTTACTTATTGTATGATAAGAAAGTGGATAAGACTTTTAAAAGTCATATATTAAGGAATGCTCTATTGTGTGTCTGGAAGAAGTATCAATACAAATTAAACGATAAGTTACCAATATGGACAGTACCCAGACACGCGATAGAGAGTATGAATATGGAGCAAAAACAAGATAAGATTACATATAAGGAACTCCTTTATAAAGAAGGAGTCAGATTACAATTAAAATCTATGGAACAATTAAGACAAGAAGGAGTAATAAAAACTTGGTTTCAATATGGACAGCTGCAGGCCAGATGGGGAGAAGATCAGAAAACTGGTATTTTGCAACAGGATGAGAATTTGATAAAACAAATAAGAGATAAAAGTCAAATGCACATAAAAAGGTTGTATAATGTATTAGTGGAAATAGATTCAGAAACAGAGCTAGTCAAGGACTGTATGATAAAATGGGCACAAAATGTAGGAGAACCAATAATGATGGAAACATGGGGAAAGATATGGGTTAGAAATGTAAGATTTACACAAGCCCAAAATTTAAGAGAGAACTTTTATAAAATGTTTTATAGATGACATTTAGATAAAAAAAAACTAGCCTGTATGTATCCCAATTTACAACCTAAATGTTGGCGATGTGAGTGTGAAGATGCTACGTATTTTCATAGATGGTGGACATGTAAAAAAATTAAGGCTTTTTGGATAAAAACATGGTGGATTATTCAAAATATTTTAAAGAAAAAGATCAAATTTCAGATCAAAAGATCAAAAGATTAATGGCCTGGCCTGGCCTAAATCTTCTTCCCTTTTTAAATGTAAATTTTAATTTGTTTTTAAATTATGGGGTATTTTAAATTCAGCCAAATTATTTAATTAGTTTTTAATTTATTTTAAATTTTTGTATTTATGTGCTTTATCTTGTGGCTGTTCACCACCCTGAGTCCTTCGGGAGAAGGGCAGTATAGAAATTTAATAAAATAATAAAATAAATTCACACCACAGTTTTTTCTGTTGGGAATAGTTACGGACTGTACTGTGATAGAGACTAAGTTGGTTTTAAATTTAATAACAGCAGCCAGGCTACGGGTGGCACAGTATTGGAAGAAAGAAGATCCACCTACTATTGAGGAATGGACATTAAAAGTCATGCATTTGGCAGAGATGGCGAAAATTTCATCATATCTTAAAGATCACTCAAACGAAAAATATATATCGGAATGGAGAAGATGGATTGACTATATTCAAAATAAGTATCAGACTAAGAAGTTTCATATAGTTTATGAATAAAATATTTGTAATCTTTAGTTTAGTTTATGTTTTCAGCGTTTTGAGTTATAAGGAGTTAAAGACCTAGGGAGAATTTGAAGTCAACAAATTGTTGGCATATTTTAGTTTTATGTTTGTGAATGCTATACCCTGTGCTTGTTCTGGGAAGTCGGAGGTGGGTGGGGGGAAGGGGGGTGGGATGGGGTGAGGGTGGAGTGGTGGGAGGGGGGAGAAAATGTTTGTATCTTTTATAAAACTTTTTAATAATAATAATAAAAAAAAGACCAGGTCTTATTTTCTTTTGGGCCCCAAAATAAGCACTAGGGATTATTTTTGGGGGGTGTCTTATTTTTCCCCCCAATGTACGGGAGGCTCATCTTCTGCTTGCTTGCGGTGTACCAGTGCTGCCACTGCGTGAGGCAGGGGGGTGGAGCTGCCCCTTAGGGCCTGCAATGGCTTATCTCAGGGCCCCTGCAGCCAGTCCACAGTACACAAAAGAGTATCCACTTACTTTCTCTATTTCATCCAGGTACAAATGGATGAAGTCTTGGTCTTTTTCTCGATGGTCTGCTTCTTGGTGCTTCTTGATCTTCTCTCTTATGAATGACTGAATAAAGTCACATGAGGAAAATGCCTTCTGGTGAGGTCCTGGGACACGCTGCATAATCCAGGGGAAAATATTGTACAGCTGATGGAAGAGAAGAAACATCACCTGAGTTAGGCAGCCATATCGAGTTAGGCAGCCATATCGATGAAATAAAGACATAAGGATTAAACAGGCAAAAGGAACTGAGTGGTGCAGTGGTTAGAGTGCAGTATTGCAGGCTACTTCTGCTGACTGCCAGCTGACTGCAATTTGGCAGTTCAAATCCCATCAGGCTCAAGGTTGACTCAGCCTTCCATCTTTCTGAGGTCGGTAAAATGAGGACCCAGATTGTTGGGGGCAATATGCTGACTTTGTAAACTGCTTAAAGTGGGCTGTAAAGCACTGTGAAGCAGTATATAAGTGCTATTGGTCTTCCTTCCTTCCTTCCTTCTCTCACTCACTTTTGTGATGACACAGTGGTTAAAATCCAGTATTGCTAGCTAACTCTGCCTACTGCCAGCAGTTCAATCCTGACCAGCTCAAGGTTGACTCAGCTTCCATCCTTCTGAGGTGGGTAAAATCAGGACCCAGATTGTTGGGGGCAAGAGGCTGGCTCTGTAAACTGCTTAGAGAGGACTGTAAAGCACTGTAAAGCAATATATAAGTGCTATTTCTATTGCTATTTGAGAGCAAAATGGTGGAGAACGATCTTGAGAATATTCTTGGCAGAAATTATCAAGACTTTGATATGACCAGAACATTCTACTCTACTTTCTTTAACTCGAGGATGAATTAAATTCTAGTTGTTTTGAACATCTTTGGAGGAAGAGGCATAAGAAAAAAAACCTGAGTGTCAGTGAATGATTATTTCCTTTTGTTTCTAATTCCCCCCCCCCCTTATTTTTATTGCTCTTATCTTTTGGTTTTACTATTGTATTTGCAAATATCTTAGCATTGTATTCTCCTTTTCAGGGTTTCTGAGAATGTCCAGGCAGTTTTTTCTTTTCTTTTAGTAGAACATAATATTGAGGCAGAATTCTAGGTCCCTCGTTGAATCAATCAATCAATTGGAATAAATAAATGACCTTTGCGATCAGATTATAAGCAACTGCATTCTCTTTGACGATGATGTAAAAATATTTAACACCACCGACAATGCTGCTACCCTTCAAAAAGACCTTGACTTTGTGTCGGAATGGTCAAACAATTGGCAACTCCAAATCTCAACCAACAAATGCTCTGTCTTACACATTGGCAAAAGGAATCAGAACACAAAGTACAAGCTGAGTGGACACGACCTTGTAGATGACCCTCACTCTGTCAAGGACCTTGGAGTACTCATGTCTAATGATCTAGGTGCCAAAGCCCACTAAAAAGGCATTAAGAGTTGTTTATTTTATTTATTTATTTTATTAAATTTCTATACCGCCCTTCTCCCGAAGGACTCAGGGCGGTGTACAGTCACAAGATAAAACACATAAATACAAAAATTTAAAATAAGGTAAAAATGAATTAAATAATTTGGCTGAATTTAAAATACCCCATAATTTAAAAACAAATTAAAATTTACATTTAAAAAGGGGAGAAGATTTAGGCCAGGCCAGCTTGATGAAATAAAAAAGTCTTAAGCACGTGACGGAAGGTGCGCAGATCTGGGATCCTCCGTATCTCCGGGAGGAGCTCGTTCCAGATCATAGGTTCCCCCACAGAGAAGGCTCTCCCCCTAGGGGCCGCCAGTCGACATTGTTTGGCCGACGGCACCTGGAGGAGCCCCTCTCTATGGGAGCGTACTGGCCGGTGGGAGACTATTGGTGGTAGCAGGCGGTCCCGTAGATAACCAGGTCCTAAGCCATGGAGCGCTTTAAAGGTGATAACCAGAACCTTGAAGCGCACTCGGAAGACCACTGGGAGCCAGTGCAGCTCGCACAGGAGAGGTGTTACATGGGAACGCCATGTCGCTCCTATAACCACCCGCGCGGCCGCACTCTGCGCCAGTTGGAGCCTCCAAGTGCTCCTCAAGAGGAGCCCCATGTAGAGAGTGTTACAATAGTCCAGACGAGAAGTGACGAGGGCATGAGTGACTGTGTGTAGAGAGTCCCGATCTAGAAAGGGACGCACCTGGCGGATCAGGCGAACCTGATGAAAAATCCTCCTGGTCATGGCCATCAAGTGCTCTTCTAAAGACAGCCATGAATCCAGGAGGACGCTCAAGTTGCGAGCCCTTTCCGTGGGGGCCAGTGATTCGTCCCCAATAGTCAGCGATGGCACCAGCTGACTATATCGGGACGTCGGAAACCACAGCCACTCAGTCTTGGATGGGTTGAGCCTGAGCCTGTTTCTCCCCATCCAGATCCGTACGGCCTTCAGGCACCGGGACATCACTTCAAGGGCATCGTTGGGGTGGTCCAGGGTGGAGATGTACAGCTGGGTGTCATCAGCGTACTGATGGTACTTCACCCCAAAACCACGGATGATCTCGCCCAGCGGCTTTACATAAATGTTGAACAAAAGGGGCGAGAGGACCGATCCCTGCAGCACCCCACATATGAGGGGCCTCGGGGTTGACCTCTGCCCCCCTGTCAACACAGACTGCGACCGGTCGGAGAGAAAGGAGGAGAACCACCATAGTACGGTGCCTCCCACCCCCAACACTTCCAACCGGTGCAGCATGATACCATGGTCAATGGTATCAAAAGCCACTGAGAGATCTAACAGGACCAGGACAGAGGAGCAACCCCTATCCCGAGCCCTCCAGAGATCATCAACCAACGCGACCAATGCCATTTCCATGCTGTACCCAGGCCTGAAACCCGACTGGAACAGATCCAGATACGACGTTTCATCCAGGTACTGGGGAAGCTGTCGCGCAACCACACTCTCAACAACCTTCGCCACAAATCTGTTAACCTAATCTTGCGTAGCTTCTTCTCCGGTAATATCACACTACTAACCAGAGCATACAAAACCTTTGCTAGACCAATTCTCGAATACAGCTCATCTGTTTGGAACCCGCACTGCATATCGGACATAAATACAATTGAGAAAGTCCAGAGATATTTTACGAGAAGAGTCCTCCATTTCTCTACCCACAATAAAATACCTTAGGCCACCAGAATTGAAGTTCTGGGTTTAGACAACTTAGAACTACACCGCCTTCAGTCGGACCTAAGCGTAGCTCATAAAATTATCTGCTACAATGTCCTTCCTGTCAATGACTACTTCAGCTTCAACCAGAACAATACACGAGCACACAATAGATACAAACTTAAAGTGAACTGCTCCAAACTCGATTGCAGAAAATATGACTTTAGCAACAGAGTGGTCAATACCTGGAATGCTCTACCTGACTCTGTTGTTTCATCCCCAAACCCCCATAACTTTAACCTAAGACCGTCTAGTGTTGACCTCCCCCAATTCCTAAGAGGTCTGTAAGGGGTGTGCATAAGCCCACCAGCGTGCCTGCCGTCCCTGTCCTAATATTTCCTCTATTGCTACCTATTTTATGTATCCAATCTATGGTTATACTTATTACCTAATACATTCTTGACAAATAAAATTAAAAAATTTTAAAATTAAAAAATAGAATAGAGCTGGAAGGGACCTTGGAGGTCTTCTAGTCCATCCTCCTACTCAAGCAGGAGACCCTATACCCATTTCAGACATGTGGCCGTCCAGTCTCTTCTTAAAAAGTGATGGAGAACCCAGAACCTCTGGAGGCAAGCTGTTCTACTGGTTAATTGTTCTAACTGTCAAGAAATTTCTCCTTAATTCCAGGTTGCTTTCCCCTCTTGGTTAGTTTCTATCCATCAAAATAAAACTATAAAGCAGGAATAAGCAAGAACATTAAGTCTAGAGTCTCAAATTGATGTATCTGTCCCTTAAAGTCCGAGATTATCATTTCCCCTTGGAGGGGAACATTGGACAGTATCATTCTTCATCTTAAAAATGTGGCTGTCCTTGTCCCACAGGTGCTTTTTCAAAAGGCAACTGGGCTTTCGTTTTCCTTGAAGACCTTTCGTTTCTCATCCAAGAAGCTTCTTCAGTTCTGAGGAAGATCTTCAAGGCAAAACAAAGTCCAGCTGCCTTTTGAAAAAACACCTTTGGGACAACCATGATCTGGGTGACTGAGAATCATTACAGATGATTGGTCACACAATTTTACCGCCAACACAAAAAGTTTTACGACCAAAACAAATGACAACCACCATGGGCTGGCTCCATTATGGTCGTAACTCAAGGACTGTCTGTACGGGAAACCCAACCAATCTCACTCGGCAAGGATGGGATCAAAAAGATGGATGCCACCACAATTCAATCAAAGACCTGTCCTTTTCACATCTGTGCCACCTGTGTGACCCACCCAAAAAAGGGGCTGGGTTTTTTATTGCACCGTCGTGGCCGCCATTTTGACTTTTTGGACTCCTCTCGCTGCAGATAGACCTGCTTCCAAGCTTGCCTTTAGTTCCCATTGCAGGTTTTTTGACCCACAACCTCTACGATTGTTCAGTGACCGTCACATTTTGATTTTCTTTAGAAAAAGGAAAGAAGGGATCAGCTCACCTTACTTGCGACGCTGTCAGAAACATTGAAAATCTTCTCCATGGCTTCCAGCAGGTGGTGAAAAGTCTCGTCTTCTGTGGAGAAACGATGTCCAAAGACTAGCATACCAATCACATTGGAAACCGCAAGGTTCAGGGCGAAATAAGGATTCATGGGTTTTCCTGCAAAGAGAAAGAGAGACTCGGTGACTGGCATGCCTCTTGCAAAGATTGCATAGAACCTGCAGAGAAAGACTAGGGATGACACAATACGATAGCATCTTCTAGTCCTTGAAGGGTTGCCACAAAGAAGAGGGAGTCAACCCTGAAGGCAGGAGAAGAAGCAACGGATGGAAACTAATCAAGAAGAGATTCTCAGTCATCCAGGTCATGGTAGTCCCAAAGGTGGGGAATGGAAGATTTATATTCCTTGTAGACAGTTGGTCATTTGCATCCTTTTAGAGGGTCCTTGAAGCACTTGGAAGTTTATCTGTATAAATCCCTCCATTCCCCACTATCCTGTCAGAGCTGAAAAAGCTTCTTGGATGAGAAGCGAAACGTCTTCAAAAGAAAAAAACAAGAAAGTCCAGTTGCCTCCTGAAAAAGCACCTTTGGGATAATCAAGGAGAGAAGCAACCTAGAACTAAGGAGAAATTTCTTGATAGTGAGGACAATTAGCCAGTGGAACAACTTGCCTCCAGAGGTTGTGGGTGTTCCATCACTGGAGGCTTTTATGAAGAGACCGGACAACCATTTGTCTGAAATGGTGTAGGGTTTCCTGCTTGAGCAGAGAGTTGGACTAGAAGACCTTCAAGGTCCTTTCCAACCTATTATTTTATGCTCTGTGTTCTAACTGGGTATGTCTGGTCTGACAATAAGAAGGACTAGGGGAGGCATTGTAGCAGTTTTCCAATATATCTGAGGGGTAGCCACAAAGAAGAGGGGGTTGACCTATTCCCCAAAGCACCAGAAGGCAAGACAAGAAACAATGAATGGAAACTAATCAAGGAGAGAAGCAACCTGTAACTGAGGAGAAACTTCCTAACTGTGAGGACAATGAACCTGTGGAACAGAAACTGCTTTCAGAAGTTGTAGGTGCTCCAACACTGGAGGTTTTCAAGAAGAGTTTGGACAGGCACTTTTCTGAAATGGTACAGGGTCTCCTGCTGAAGCAGGGGGTTGGATTAGAAGACCTCCAAGGTCCTTTCCAACTTTATTCTATGTTCTGAATCAGTGAGAAACGCCTTGCTGGCGTTCAGGTGTGTGGACTTCAACTCCCAGAATTCCCCACTGGGAAGTCATGTGTGAAGAACAGTCAAAAGTCCCTTTTCTCCGCCCAGGAAGGAAATGGCAGTCAGAATGGGAATGACTCCTCTATGCAGCATATGACCGAGTCTGCTAAATTTGCATGGCTCTGCCCTCCTGGCCCAGTGTTTCGACTTGGTCTATGCTGGACAAACCTGTCTTCCCAGCTAGCCGTTTTCTACCTAAATGTGAGAGGAAATTCAGCCCTTTCTTTTAAATTCCTTTTTTGCTGGCTGACAGCTTGATTAAGCTGAAAATCGCTCCCCCTTTCCATTGGGGAGGCATTGCTGCGGTTCAACGGCTTTGTCCTAGCAGCCTGATATACCTCTATATATATATAGATATATTTACTGAGCAAAGAGAGGAGCCCTGGGATCGCGCTAATAGCCTTTGGGTTAGTGATCGGCCGTTTTCACGCACGGAAGCGCCGCAGTAACAGCCAGATGGCTGGCGGCTTCCTTTTTTCGGCGCTAGCAGGTCTCGGCATTAGCGCCACCCACGATCCTAATTGGCTTCACGGCTTCATTAGCGGTGTTTTTGAACACCGGAGAAGAGCAGCGGTGAGGCAATTTCCTTTTTTTGGCACCATTATTTCTCTGTCAGTGCGGGCAGCCATTTTGCGAGCCAACGTATATATTTAAAATGGCAGACGCCAGGCATACTAAAGACTCTTCTTCCGCCAGTGGCTCGGGAAAGCACAGGGCCAATTAAGACCCCTTAGAAGGCTCATCAGGGACCCCTGCCATGTCCAAAAGGTCCAAACCATCTAAACCCTCTGCGGTTTCGGCCCCTGCAGCTTCCTCTAAGCTGGAACAACGCCACCACAAGGCCATAGAAAAGGCCTTCCTCAAGGCCCAATCCCAAGCAGAGCCTCTTCCTCCTTCTTCTGCACAGGAGCTTCCTTCTAGGGCCAGGTCCCTGGCTCCATTGAGAGGCAGCTCCATTAGAGAATTATCCCCGGATGTCCCGTTATCAGAGGGCTCTGCATCTATCCTGGCAACGAGCCCCTTTTTCAAACAATGCCAGCCACGGATCCGGACCAGGAGGACCAGGTGGGGCCCCAGACTTCCGCACCTCAGAACTTGGATCCTCCTCACAATGTTCCTGAGGCCTTCGAGCTTATCATTGCCAGGGCCATCAGACAGGGCCTTGCCCAATGTTTTCAGCAGGGCTCCTTCCATTCTGATCCGTCCACTGCTGTTCCTGCCCATCAGCCTCCTAATTTGGATGATTCAATATCAGAACAGGACCTGGAGGTCTCCCCTACTTCTGCTGACTTGGCATTGGTTTCAGAACCTGAAGAGCCACTTGATTCGGCTCTATCAGATGATGAGGGCCTGGTTCCTGACCAGCCTCCTTTCATTGGCCTTTTTAGCCTCAGATTTTTCACTCTTTGCTCCACAAGGCAATCGCGACCACCCGTCTGGGGTCCGCCCCTCCAGACCCTTCCAATACTTCCAGTGCTGATCCAGCTTCCGCAATGTTCGCCGAACCTTCTGTAGAGCCTGAAACTATCCTGGCAGCCAAATTGTTTCTGGATGTCCTACACCGCCAGTGGTCCCTTCCAGGTTCTGGGCCCAGTCCCAACGGTCTTGATAAACGCCTATATAATTCTGCTTCAGCTCTGTCAGATCTCCTACTACCGCCCTTGGTGGACCTGCCTATTGTTGCCTTGTGCAATGCTCCCCACCCAACGGAGGATGCTCTACGCCCGGAGGATAAGCGTGCCGAGAAGACTCTTCTCAAGGGCCATCAGGCGGCTGCCTGGTCTATCAAGGCCTCAACCTCAGCATCTTTCTTCAACAGGGCCGCCCTCCTGTGGCTCAAACAGCTTCAAGAAAGGCTCCCTGCCTCCGATGTCCATTCCCGCCAGGATCTGAATAAGATTGCGGCTGCTCTAGAATATTCCACAGACGCCATGCTAAATACGACCAGGTTTGCGGCTAAAGCCCTTGGATCGGCTGTGACATTGCGCCGGCTCCTCTGGCTCAGGAACTGGAACGCCGATATGAGAAGCAAATGGCAACTTGCTTCCACGCCTTACACCACTGGATCCCTCTTCGGCCCTTCTCTGGAACTACTTCTCGCGGAAACAAGGGATCACCGAAAGATACTTCCTTCAACCTTCCGGCGTTCAGAGTCTCACTTCTCTGCTCTTCCTCGTTTCCAGTCCTTTCGGACCACCGACCCAGCTCATTACCAGCCTCGCTACCAACGACCCTATCTGGCCAGACCCCAGCAGCTGGATTCCCAGGTTAGGCAGGGGGGCAAATTCCTCCCCAAACATTCCTTTTGGGGGGGAAGGGGTAGGTTTCCTAGAAGGTCCAGGTAATCGGTCTGTGGACCCTCCCATTGGGGGACGGTTATCTCTCTTCTTCCACCAATGGGAGGCTTCCACCTCTGATGCCTGGGTCTTGTCCACTCTCAGATCGGGCCTTTATCTCGAATTCAACTCTCCCCCCACCCTCTGTTTTCCTCGCCTGTCTAGTCTCTCGAGACAGGAATAAGCGGGAGTTAGTCAGTTCTGCTATTTCTCACCTTTTGGATATTAAGACCATCCAACTAGTACCCCCAAATCAACAGGGTTTCGGGTTTTATTCCCGTTTATTCATTGTCCCTAAATCCTCGGGGGGTTGGAGGGCCATCTTGGACCTAAAATCCTTGAATCGGTATATAATTTATCACCGGTTCAAGGTCACACTCTGTTTACCATCCTAGAGTGTATTCGGCCTGGGGATTTTCTGTCATCAATTGATCTCACCGAGGCCTACCTCCACATCCCCATTGCTCCCTCCCACCATCAATTCCTTCGTTTCTGTTTCCTGGGTAAACATTACCAATATAGGGCTCTGCGCTTTGGCCTCTCCTCGGCCCCCAGGATATTTACTAAAGTTATGGCAGCCCTGATTGGCCATATACGTTCCGTCCCTATTCGATTGCAGTTTTATTTGGATGATATTTTGGTTCTTTCATCTTCCCTTTCAGAGGCTCATCATGATTTGGCTAGGGTCCTTTCCATGCTGCAGAGTCACGGTTTTTCAGTCAATTGGGCCAAGTCACCTTCTCCCCAGTCCCTCCATAATCCATTTGGGTGCGGCCATCGATACCTTGTCTTCCATGGTTTTTCTCTCCCCTGAGCGACAAGAGAGCCTCAGATCTCTGGCCAAGCAATGTATTGGGGAAGGTTCAGTCTCCGCTCTGAAGCTTTCCCGCCTGTTAGGGAAAATGGTGTCCACTTTTGGAATAGTGCCTTGGTCTCGCTTGCATAGCAGGGAGCTCCAGTGGTTCCTGCTCCCGCATCAGAGAGCCAGCAGGGGTTCTTCACTGGACTGGCTACATTTAACACCACAAGTCTTGTCATCCCTTTGGTGGTGGACGTCTCAAGCCATTTCTCAGGGCAGCTGCTTTCGGGAGCCTCCTCGTCTTTCACTGGTAACGGATGCCAGCCTAGCCGGCTGGGGTGCCCACCTTCTCCACCATCTGGCTCAGGGTCGGTGGACATCGCAGGAACGTTGCCACAACATCAATTTCCTGGAATTACAGGCCGTCCGGAGGGCTCTTCTCAGCTTTCAAGATCTAGTAGCAGGCAAGGACATCTTAGTCCTCACAGACAACATATCCACAAAGGCCCACATCAACAAACTGGGGGGCACACGGTCGCAGGCTCTAATGGCGAAATCTCTTCTACTGGGCCGCTGGGCCAAACAACATCTTCGCTCCCTCAGAGGACTACATTTCCGGGGCGACCAATTTTCAGGCAAATGCCCTCAGCCGCCACTGGGTGGACCAGGGAGCGTGGAGCATTGCTCACGATCTGTTTTAGGAGATTGCAGACTGGTTTGGGAATCCTCTGGTCGACCTATTTGCCACTTCGTCCAACCACAGAGTTCCCCAGTACTTCTCCAGGTACCCGGATCCCCAGGAGAAAGCTACAAATGCATTGCGCAGTCCTTGGCCATCCGGCCTCCTCTACGCCTTCCCTCCTCTTCCACTAATCGCCAAGGCCATTCAGAAGATGCTGGAGGAGAGAGCAGATCTCATCCTGCTGGCGCCTCGTTGGCCCAGGCAACCGTGGTTCGCGGACCTGAGGTCCCTGTCAGTGGCAGCCCATTGGCGCATTCTGGACTCCAAACTCGTCCTCTCCCAGGGTGCCCTTCAACACCCGGACCCCTCCAGCCTCCAGCTGACCGCCTGGAGGTTGAGCAGCGCTTCCTAGCGGCTGCCTGTCTCCCTCCTCACGTCGTTTCGACCATGCAAGTGGCTCGCCGTAATTCCACTAAACGAATCTACAAGACTACATGGGTTGCTTTTTCGACCTGGTGTGAGAAGTCTAAAGTAGTTAGACTTTAGACTCTCCGCTTCGGTGGTGGATATACTCACCTTCCTCCAGGAGGGTTTTGACGCGGGGCTGTCCCCCAATACTCTTCGTCGCCAACTTGCGGCTCTCTCTACAGTTCTGTCCTGCGGATCAACTGTCTCACTCTCCAGGCACCCGTTCCTCCGCACTTTTCTACGCGGGGCAACTAATCTGCGGCCTCTGGTCATCCACCGGTTCCCAACCTGGAATCCACCGGTTCCCAACCTGGAATCTGAACAAAGTCTTGCGAGCTCTAACAGTGACCCTGTTCGAGCCTCTCCAGCAAGTCTCCTTGTGTTTCTTGTCCTTCAAAGTTTCCTTTCTTTTGGCGATCACCTCGGCGCGCTGTATCTCTGAGCTTGCAGCTCTTTTGGTGCGCCAGGACTTGTGTATCTTTCATTCTGACAGGGTCATCCTTCGCCTGGATCCGGTCTTTATCCCTAAAGTCAATTCAACGTTCCACCGGGCTCAGGAGCTAGTCCTCCCGAACATCTGCCCACGCCCTACGCATGAGCTTGAACGCTCATGGCACACTCTCGATGTTTGCCGGGCGCTCAAGATTTACATCTCCAGGACTCGCCCCTTCCATAAAACAGAAGCCCTCCTCGTCTCTTTCCAGACGGAATCTATCGGCACCCGGGTCTCGGGCCCTACCCTCGGTCGCTGGATACGGGCCACTATATCAACAGCTTACCAGCATCTGAATATTCCGGTGCCTCGGCATATTACGGCTCATTCGACCAGAAGCGCGGCCACATCAGCAGCCTGGGCCACTCGAGCTCCCCTGGAGGAGGTCTGCCGGGCTGCCACCTGGACGACCCTCACTCCCTTCATCAGGCATTACCAAGTGGATTCGTTCGCATCGGTGGATGCGGCTTTCGGACGCCGGGTGTTACAGGCAATACATTCTTCGTGACGGCTCCGGGCCGGACTTTTCCCTCCCTGGAGGACATTCAGCTTTGGTATGTCCCCATTCTGACTGCCGTTTCCTTCCTGGGCGGAGAATGGACGTTGGTCTTACCTGATACGTCAGTTCTCACTCAGAAAGAAACAGCAGTCAGCCCCACCCTTCTGGATCCAGCCCTCAGGGTCGTTGGGGTAGGTGGCTACTAATTCTCTCTCATTTTAGGAAGACACGCCAGTCTGCGTCAGTGCCCTCGCTGAAACACTGGGCCAGGAGGACGGAGCCATGCAAATTTAGCAGACTCGGTCATATGCTGCATAGAGGAGTCATTCCCCATTCTGACTGCCGTTTCCTCCCGAGTGAGAATGGACGTATCAGGTAAGACCAACGTCCATTTTCAGTGCTGTTGTAATTTTGAGTGATCACTAAATGAATGGTTGTAAGTCAAAAACTACCTATACATTCATCTATATCTATTTATCCATCTGCCTGTCTTTCTCTCTATCATCTATAATATCTCAGTCTGTCTATCTTTCTATCATCTATCTATTATCTATCTATTATCCATTCATCTATCATCTATCTGTTTATATCTATCTATCATCCATCCATCATCTATCTTTTTATATCTATCTATCTATCTATCTATCTATCTATCATCATCCATCTCTCTCTCTCTCTTTATCTATCTATCTATCTATCTATCTATCTATCTATCTATCTATCTATCATCTCTATTTATTTATTAAATACATTGGCTCATCTTACATTTCCTTACACAAAACATGAAAAAAAGGATCAAAGGTTTTATTGGGTGAGCCTCCATCTTGATCTTTTTTTGCCTTCCCTTGCAGACATTGAAGAAATGACTTCAGCCAGTCCTTTTTATCTTAGCTTGCACATTTTGGAAAATTAAAACAAATAAGAAAATACAGGTTTCTGGCCAAAACATAAAGGCATTCGCCTTTGTAGTACCTTCACTTTTCCTGAACACTTCCACCAAACTCTCTGCTTCCTCTTGGATCTGATACTCCAGAGTGCTCTTCCCTAAACCGAGGTTCTTCAGAGCCGCCATTGAAAATCGTCTTTGCTGCTTCCAGGTCTGGCCCGTGGAAAACGCAATTCCTGATGACACAGAACCACCAAATGATAGATTATTGGCCTTATTCAAGTCTTTAGAAATGACTGAAAGGCAAAATACCTTTCTCAGAATATTGTGATAGAAATAGCAATGGCACTTAGATTTATATACCGCTTCACCATGTTTTACTCTGACTGGTTTTACAGAGTCAGCATATTTGCCCCCGACAGTCTGGGTCCTCATTTTATTGACCGCAGAAGGATGGAAGACTAAATCAGCCTTGAACCGGTCAAGATCAAGCTGCTGGAAGTGGGCAGAATTAGCCTGCAATACTGCATTCTAACCACTGCAGCACCGTGTCTGATCACATCTAGAATGTAAAACTGCCTCTGAAACTTGAAGTCCAATTCTGCCAACTGGGCAGCATGGGCTTTGGGGTTACTAGGAAACAGTATCATAAAACAGGAAGCCTAAACTATGAATAACTAAAAGGGGACAAGAGAATTAAGGAAAACAAAGCAAGAAGACAAGCAGAAAAATATTAGAAATAAACAAGTAAATGACACAGAAAAATACTGGGGGGGGGGAGAAGAAATAAACCCCCCCAAAACCATGCGATGAATCAATTCAAATTTCAAAATTGCATTAACATTCTACCATTCTCAAGAGTTGGTTTTTGAGTAATACAAATTGTTAGTCTCTAAAATCTCTGAACGTGTCTCTCTTCTGGTTATCTTGCGTATTTTCCAAAGTTATTTCTGTAATTTTCTTTTTTAAAGTATAATAGCAGTACATAATCTCAGGGAAGGATCCTCCAATATTGTTAATTCTTGATTTACGACCACAATTGGGAGGACAATTTCTATACTTAAGCAGGGGGGATTTGTTAAGCGAGTCCCATCCAATTTTACAATCTTTTAAATCTTTTTTAATAAGCTGAGCCGTGGTGGCACAGTGGTTAGAATGGAGAATTGCAGGCTAGCACCACCAATTGCCAGCAGTTCGATCCTGACCAGTTGACTAATCCTTCCATCCTTCCAAGGTGGGTAAAATGAGGACCCAGATTGTTGGGGACAAGAGGCTGACTGTAAACAGCTTAGAGAGGGCTGTAAAGCACTGTGAAGCAGCATATAAGTCTAAGTGCTATTGCTCTTCCTTCCTTCCTTCCTTCCTTCCCTCCCCCCCTCCCTCCCTTTTGTGGTGATGCAGTGGTTAAAATCCAGGATTGCAGGCTAACTCTGCCCACTGCCAGAAGTTTGATCCTGACCAGTTCAAGATTGAGTCAACCTTCCATCCTTCCGAGGTGGGTAAAATGAGGACCCAAAATTGGCTGACTCTGTAAACCGCTTAGAGAGGGCTGTGAAGAGGCATATAAGTCTAAGTGCTATCGTTAATGCTATTGGTTTTAGGCACCGTTCTTAAGTGAATCAGTGCAGTTGTTTGGTGAGTCACAATTTCCCCCATTGACTTTATTTGTGAATGTGGTTGTGCGTAGAGGACTAGCTGAACCACCAGAAAGGTGACACCAAAGAAATGGAAATTGTCCTGCCTCCGGTACCCACATCTGAAGAAAGCTGATTGTTCTTACCTTTGTTATTTGTCAGTGCTTTGAAAAAGGGGAGCAGAGGCCGGCCAGAAACATCTTCAGGGTGGGTGGTGAGACCGTCCTTCACAGCTTGGTAGCCTTGTAATATAATCACAGGGTAGGGCCCGAACCACAACGTGAAGATATTCCCGTAGATCTTGGACATCTGTTAGATTTATTTATTTAGCGTATGGTTGATCACACACAGTATTAAAACACTTCATTTTTACAGGTTAAAAACAATTTAAACAATAAAAAAGCAGTAAGAAAATCTAAAAGGAAAACAGAAATAACATTTCAAAGTTTAATGTCGAGTTTGGAGATCCAGTCAGTAGCTGCAGAGGAAGTCCCTAGAATCTCCTGGATACCTTCTGTTAGGGCATTCCCTCACTATGTGCTGGATAGTCTGTCGAGGGGCCCCGCAATCACATTGTGCTGAAGGTGTCTTTCCCCATTTATACAGGGAATCAGCACACACCCCATGAGTTGTTCTAATTCTATTATATGTGTCGGGGTAGGCTAAATCCTGGAGGTATACTACTAGGACTGATATGCTCGGAGACATCTTGGGGGGAACAGCTATTCCACGCCTCCATCCACTTTTGTGTGGTGTTCTGATGATCGGCCATCAACTTACGCGCTGTCAAGATTGGTGGATTTCTTGACTTTAATCGGCATCTTAAGAGATCAGGAATGTATCCATGTATGGGTAGAGAGGGATTTAACAGGATCTTACTATACTCCCGAATGAGAGCTTCTTGTCGTCGTAAGTGCGGGGGGAGTATGTGACTAAGAACTGGTAACCAGTAACTAGGTGTAGGTTTTATGCACCCAGTAATTAGCCTCATCGTATGGTTAAGTTGAACATCAATAAGTCCTGTATGTGAGCTGTTTATCCATACAGGTGCACAGTATTCCGCTGCAGAGTAGCAAAGCCCAAGGGCTGCACATCGGAGAGTTGGGGCTGAAGCTCCCCAAGTTGTTCTGCATAGCTTTTGTAGGATGTTATCTGTTAGAAAAACGATCCCACACGGTCTTTAAGATTCCTGGGCTAGACTGGTGACTATATTGCTTTGTTTTCATTTGAATAAAAGCTTAAATTCATTACAGATAGGAGAGGGAGGAGCAGGAGGAGGACTGTGGGGTCCTTGGTGCTCTCTGAGGTTGGTTGTTTTCTTGCAGACATTTCCAGTACCCAACTAGGTAACATCATCAGTACTAATAAGGAGTGAGGTTTCTAGAGAAGAGGAGAAGGAGGACTGTGGGGTCCTTGATGCTCTCTGAGCTTGGTCGTTTTTGTAGGGAGACAATAATAAAGATAGAATATAAAATACTGATATTCTAGATTTAGTAAAAGCTTGTTATTCTGTAACCATTAGGTTCCTGTAACATATATATTGTGCCTTTGTATTTGTATCACATCTATTATTCCTTTCTATTTGTATCTCCTGTTACAAACATATTCTGTTATTTGGCCTCTGTAATGTATCTGGTATTTGTCAAACATATGTCCCTGCCATTTGACCTGAACTCACATCAATCTATCTAAAAGCATGGTACGTATCTCAGTTGGAACCACAGCCATCAATAAAGGGATAATATACACCTCAGCCCTAATTTATGTTTGATCTGGATAAGCTCCTGTTTTGCAGAGCCAGGGGGCCAAATGGCCAATTGAGTAAACAAAGGAATGCTTAAGATAAGACTAATTGGGAAGTTTCTATTCCCTTGCAGGGCAACAAAGAATACACAAACATAAATTAGGGGGCAAGAGTTGGGGATTTAACTGGTGTTTTAAAGGTATAAAAAGAGGTTACATCTTCTCTGAAGGTGTGAGCCCTCCCATATACATATCTCTTTGTATGTGTTTGGAATGGTTTACTCAGCCTTTTGTCTTTGATCAAAGATTAAATGTTGATTCTTATTCAAGCCTCCATTTAAGTCTTTTTGGTTCACTGAGGGCTTAAGCGTATAGCCGGACCTTACATTTTTTTGACGTTTCATTACTCAACTAGGAAACAACATTAGTGCTAGAAGGGAGAGGGGTTTGCAGGGAGGAGGAGGAAAAGGAGGAGGACTGTAGAATCCTTGGTACTTTCTGAGGTTGGTTGTTTTCTTGCAGACATTTCAGTACCCAAATGGTAACATCATCAATGCTGGAAGGAGGTGGGGTTTGAAGGGAGGAGGAGGAGGAGGAGGAGGAGGAGGAGGAAACCGATAAGGTGGACTCTATTCCTGTTCCCCGAAAAAATAACTTTTGTCCACTGTCCAGTGTTATCCCAGAGATTTTAGATGAGATGGCTGGTGCAAAAATTAGATAAATAAATCTACTCTAGCTGCACACTAGATAACACCTTTATTAAGTTAAACAACAACACAGAAGGGAGTGTTCAAACTTTTCAATTCTCTGAAAGATTTCATTCAGTTAGACAGTTTTTTAAAAAGAAAGCAGGGAAAAAGGGCATCAATTTAAAAAAATCTGGCTTGTGTTGTGAACAAAGTTAAGTGGAGATTTTCAATTTTGCTGGAAAGTTACTGTGGATGACATCCAGTTTAATTTGCATCCGGCCCAATCCTTACATTCAGAGCAGAGCAAGTGCAAATGGTACTCGCTTTAGTTAGCAGGAAAAAAAGATGTTTGTTTATTAGACATCAGCAAGCATCAGAAATAGTTAACAGGCGTAAATGAAATAAAATGTAGGCAAAAGTAGGGAAATACAGAAATATTTGCACAACAGACAACAATTTTCATTATTTATACATTTCTTTATGCCAAAAGGGGGAAGAATTTCACAGAGCCCCCAAAACCATCCTGTGAGTAAGTGGCATGTAGAGTAGCCTTTGGTTACTCCAGCTTTAAGCCTTCTATGTATAGAATGACAGTGGAATAGAGTTGGAAAGTAGGACATCAGGTGATGCCGCCTCTCATGAACCCTCAACGTAATACAGGTAGTCCTTGACTTACAACCATTTATTTAGTGACTGTTCAAAGTTACAACAGCACTGGAAAAAGTGGCTTACGATAGTTTTTCACACTTATTTTATGGCCCAGGTGGTCAAGGCATGGCAGGCGTCTCGAGAGTCCTTCGTTGCTCTCAATAAATAAGACCAAGCCAAACAATTGTTCCTGGCAAAGATTAACTCCCCATGGCTTCTTAAATAACTCCAGAACAGCTTTAACAGAATAGCAGAGTTAGAAGGGACCTCGGAGGTCTTCTAGTCCAACCTCCTACCTAGGCAGGAAACCCTACACCACTTCAGGCAAATGGTTATCCAACATCTTCTTAAAAACTTCCAGTGTTGGAGCATTCACAACTTCTGGAGGCAAGTCGTTCCACTGATTAATTGTTCTAACTGTCAGTAAATTTCTCCTTAGTTCTAGGTTGCTTCTCTCCTTGATTAGTTTCCACCCATTGCTTCTTGTTCTACCCTCAGGTGCTTTGGAGAATAGCTTGACTCCCTCTTCTTTGTGGCAGACCCTGAGATATTGTATGGGGACACTGCTATCATGCCTCCCCTGGTCCTTCTTTTCATTAAACTAGACATACCCAGTTCCCGCAACCGTTCTTCATATCTTTTAGCCTCCAGTCCCCTAATTATCTTTGTTGCTCTTCTCTGCACTCTTTCTAGAGTCTCCACATCTTTTTGACATCGTGGCGACCAAAACTGAATGCAGTATTCCAAGTGTGGCCTTACCAAGGCATTATAAAATGATATTAACACTTCATGTGATCTTGATTCTATCCCTCTGTTTATGCAGCCCAGAACTGTGTTGGCTTTTTTGGCAGCTGCTGCATACTGCTGGCTCATATCTAAATGCTTGTCCACTAGGACTCCAAGATCCCTCTCACAGTTACTACTATTGAGCAAGGTCCCATTTATACTGTACTTGTGCGTTTTCTTTTTCTTCCCTAAATGTAGAACCTTACTTTTTTCACCATTGAATTTCATTTTGTTACATAGCACCCAATGTTCAAGTCTGTCAAGATCCTTCTGTAGAAGCCTATCTTCTGGAGTGTTGGCTATTCCTGTCAGCTTGATGTTGAAGACTACTGGGCCTAAAACAGAGCCCTGAGGTACCCCACTGCATACTCCCTCCATGTAGATGTAGTTCCATTGAGGATTACACGTTGAGTGCGGTTGGTCAGCCAGTTATGAATCCATCTGGTGGTGATGCTGTCTAACCCACATTTTTCTATTTTATCTAGTAGTAATTTATGGTCTACTTTATCAAATGCCTTACTGAAGTCCAAGTAAATTATATCGACAGTATTCCTCTTGTCCACTAATTTTGTCACTTTGTTAAAGAATGCAATAAGATTAGTCTGGCATGATCTGTTTTTTGTTTCTTTCTCTTGCCTAAGTTAGATGTCCCAATCTGGAATTTCCATAAATCTTAAAATTAGTGTGTTGATCTCTCAACATATTAATATTCTCACCATGTTCCTCGAGAACATAGTGAACGCAAACAGTAGCTCTTACAAAAAAAAAAAAAAAAAGATTTCACCGCCACTCCCTTTGGCTACACAAAAGCCGCAATGTCACTTAGCAATAATTGGCAGGTTCTTGACTTATGACCACAATTGAGCCCAACATTTCTGTTGCAAAATGAGACATCTGTTCAGGGAGTTTTGCCCTGTTTTACGACTTTTCTTGCCACAGATGTTAAGCGAGTCACTTCAGTTGATAAGTTAGTCACACGGTTGTTAAAATAAACCTCTGCTTGTCAGAAAGTCGCAAAAGGGGATCACGTGACCTTGGGACACAGCAACGGTCGTAAATATGAACCAGTTGCCAAGCATCTGAATTTTGATCATGTGACCACGGAGATGCTTCAAAGGTCGTATGTGAAAAATGATCATAAGTCACATTTCTCAATGCCATTGTAACTTTGAACAATCACTAAATGAACTGTTGTAAGTCAAGGGCTAACTTGTATTGTTCTGTTCTGTTGTTACCTGTGTTGTTGGCAAACACCTGAATTTTGATCACGTGATCATGACTTTGAACGGTCACTAAATGAACTGTTGTAAGTCAAGGACAACCTATATCGACCTCTGAAGGGGCATCTTCCATGCCTTCATTTCTTTCCTTATAAATATGTATCGGCGCCTCTTTCCTCTAACAACAATTCATTTTTTTTGATCCGTCTCAATCAGCTGATGAAAGGGATAGAAAATTCTTACCTCCGTCAAGAGTTCCCGGTTTAATTGAAAAAATTTGGGGTGCCAGAAGCACCCGATGAAAGGCAGAGGAGTCGGTCCAGGTGGGTAGTGTCTTCTACGAAACTGGAGCCTCACCAGTTGGACAACCAGAAGGCAGAGGACAAGCAGGAGGAAAATTGAGCTTAGGGCCATCATTTCTGTGCAGCTTCTCCAAGGCGTCTGCTCTGTGATAAGACTTTGTCTGAAAAATCCTTTTGCTCTTCTAATTTTGTTCCCATGGGCGGGATCCTATTCAGAGGATTTAAATTTGCCCTCCCTCTTTGGCTAAACTGCTTCCCATGCTACATCTATGTTCTTGGGGCATTTTCCTCTTGGGAACTGACTGAGAAAATTATGTTGTAAGGTTAAATGAAAGAAACGGCTGGCCTAGCCTGGAAAACTTCTCTTACCCTTTATGTGTAAAATTAAGATGGCAGAAGATTAAGCTGTAGAAAATTTCTCCTTATTTCTAGGTTGAATCGTTCCTTGATTAGTTTCCATCCATTGTTCCTTGTCTGGCCTTCAGGTGCTTTGGAAAATAGATTGTTCCCCCCCTCCTCTCTGTGGCAGCCCCTCAAATATTGGACATGGGGCTATCTTGTCCCAAGGAGTCCCTTGGGCCGCAAGGAAATCAGATCAGTCTATCCTGAAAGAAACCAACCCTGACTATTCTTTGGAAGGACAGATCCTGAAGCTGAAGCTCAAATATTGCTAAGTAGGACATACAAAACCTTTGCCAGACCAATTCTTGAATTGAATTCTTGAATTCATCCGCCTGGAATCCACACTGTATATTGTACATTAACACGATTGAGCGGGACCAGAGGTATTTCACGAGAAGAGTACTCCGTTGCTCTACTCACAATAGAATCCCTTACGCCACCAGGCTTGAAATTGTGGGCTTGGACAATCTGGAACTGCGCTGCCTGCGGTACGATCTAAGCATAGTACCCAAAATTGTCTGCTACAATGTCTTACCTGTCAACAACTTCTTCAGCTTCAACCACAATAATACACAGACAAACGATCGATACAAACTCCAGGTGAACCGCTCCGAAATCGATTTCAGAAATACGACTTCAGCAAAAGAGTGGTCAACGCCTGGAATGCACTACCTAACTCTGTTGTTACAGCCTCAAACCCTCACAGCCTCAACCTCAAACTGTCTACTCTGGACCTCACCCCAGGGGTGGGATTCAGCTGGTTCGGACCGGTTCAGGCGGAGCGGATGTTAACTTTAATCTGGTTTGTCGAACCGGTTGTTGCAATAACTGGCTGACCTCGTCCACCCCTACCCTCCCAGAAGTCTCCACGCAGCCCATTTTGGATGCCAGGTAAGTGCAGGGGCTGCGCAGAGGTTCTGGGAGGGTAAAAAGCGGCCTACTGGAAGTTCCGTTTCTAGCCTCTGGAGCCTGGGGGAGCCATTTTCGCCCTCCCAGAGGCTCAAGGAAGGCCTCCAGAGTCTGTGGAGGGTGAAAATGCCCCCCCTTGGTGCAGGAGGCCGAGTAGACCACACCCACCATGGCCACACCCGCCCAGCAACCAGGCAGAGAACCAGTTGCTTAAATTTCTGAATCCTACCCCTGCCTCACCCCATTCCTAAGAGGTCCATAAAGGGGGCATGCATAACCGCACTGTTGTGGTCCACTAGCAGCCTGCGGAGCTGGCAGCAGAGTTCGACAGTGAGGAGACTGGGGAGAAACGTGGGGCAGTCCTGGAGTCTGGGGAAGGCTTGGGCAGGGGCTCTGCATTGGAGGCAGAGAAAGGGCCATCTGGGAGGTACGTGCTGTCTCCAGAGCCTCCAGAGTTGGACCTCAGCAAGGCAGAGGAACAGGGGGAGCCTGTTCCCAGCGCGTGCATGCGCAGAGCTGCCAGAAGGCAAGAACAGTTAAAACAAAAGGGACGACTCGGGAGTAGGGCTTGGAGATGATTGGCCCCTCTCATAAGACTTAAAAGAGGAGCAAAGGCACACAGGCCTTTGTAGGAAGCAACGTTTGTTCATTCTGTGCAGTTTAAAGTCTGAAGCTCTGTTTGATTCTGGACTCCGTGTGGCTTTGCCAATTAGGTCTTTGGCAGCGTGTCAAGGGAGATAAAGGTGGGTGATTATCAGCCTTATCCTGCAAGACTCTTTACAACTATTTGGGACTCATCTGTGAATGAACAGAATTCACAGCTGTTAAAATAAAACAGGTTTTTGGGGCTACTCGTGTGTTTTACTGATTCAGGAAGCCTAGGTCAGAACACACACCAGCGTGCCTACCGTCCCTGTCTTACTGTCCCCATTTACCTGTACTTTCTTCCTTTGTTTATATCTATGTTTATACCTATACCTGTTTGTACATGTTTGACAAACAAAATAAGTAAATAAAATAAATAAATAAATAGTTTGGCCACTAAATGAGAAGAGAGGACTCCTTGGAAAAGACCCTGATGTTGGGAAAAGGCAGAAGGAGAAGGGGATGGCAGAGGAGGAAATGGGTAGATCAGGGGTGAAATGTTACTGGTTTGCTCCTGTTCGGGTGAACCGGTAGTGATAAAAAGCAACTGGTTCAGTTGAACTGGTAGTTAAAAAAACCTACCGGTTCATTCGAACCGGTATTTCCAATGATCAGCTGTGCTGCGCGATTTAGCTTCGCTAGAAAGCAGGAAATTGCACGGCACAGCTTTTCCCACCCCCTCGTTCTACTTACCTAGTAAAGTCTTAAGTCTTCTTTTTCCACGCGAAGCATGCGTTTGGTGCGCACCATGCATGCGCGCACATAGCGCATGCTTGACACGCACCGTGCATGTGCGGGCAGCGAATCGGCCATCCGAGAAGGATTTCACCACTAGAGTAGATCTTGTCATATAGGCAATGAACATGAATTTGGGCAAACACTGAGAGAAGAGAGAAGAGTCAGACGTGACTTAGCGAGTGTACAACACACAACCTTCCACAAATTAGAGAAAACATAAAGAATATGAATAAGCTCAGCAAAACTACTAATTACCAGTATTAGTATATATTATAGTATATAACACATATAATATCACAAGCATGAAACCAGTCTTCTCGAGATTAGTGGGACACAACATGGAGCCACTAAGAAAAGAGTTCCACAATTTGAGGAAAGCAAACCCTAACCCCCCAAAAAACGGCTTCCCTCTCTCTCCATTTCGGTTTTATTTTCACTGCGTGACATTCTGATCTTCCGTTGGCCTGGAATTAAAAACTGCTGCAGCAAAATCTGGGGACAAAATGAAATGCAAGTTTTATTGCCTTCGTAGGGGAGCGATCAAATTCCTCCAGAAAGCAGAAATAAAGAATGAAAAGGGCTCTTCTTGACAGCTAACATACAGAGTGAACAAAAAGAAAAAAGAAAAGACGTTTGATAGAGAAATACGCAGTTTGGGAAAGAGAAATAAAACGATCGGTTTCCTCAGATGGCTTGTCAGAAAGATCTTGGAAACGTAGGTGGCTACAAATCAATTATGAGCCAGCCTTTTGCTGTGGCTGCAGAAAATTCAATATTGCATCATCAAGAATATATTTTCCAAATCATGGCAATTAATCGGAGTACAGGTAGTTCTCGACTTACAACAGTTCATTTAGTGATGGTCCAAAGCAGGGGTGAAATGCTACCATTTCGGGCCGGTTCACCTGAATCGGTAGTAAAAAATGCTACCGGTTCGCTGAACCGGTATTAAAAATGTAAAAAAAATAAAGATTCTGACGATCAGCTGAGTGACACGCGATCGTTGGAATTTTTTATTTTTTTTTTAGCATTTTTTTACTACCGGTTCTCTGGAACCGGTAGTTAAAAATGCTTTAAAAAGTAAAAAAAAAAAAAATATTCCCACGATCGTGCATCGCTCAGTTGATCGTTGGAGCTTTTTTTTTTACTTTTTAAAAGCATTTTTTACTACCTATTTGCCCAAGCCGGTAGTAAAAAATGCTTTTTAAAAGTTTTTTTAAAAAGGTTCCCATGTGCGCCACAGCTGATCACACACACACTCCTGCACACTGTTCTACTGACCTTCCCAAGCCTCCTTTTGGTTTGCACTGCACATGTGCGTGCACAGCCCATGCTTGATTTGCACGCACAGCATGCATTTGACGCATGCGTGGCCAGCAAACCAGTAGTAAACCGGTTTGGATTTCAGCACTGGTTGAAAGGTACAACGGCACTGAAACGTATGTAACATGAACGTTTTTCACACTTAGAACCTCTGTAGCGTCCCCCTGCTTGTGTGATCAAAAATTCAGACGCTTGGCAGCTGGTTCCTACTTATGACCATTGCTGTGTCCCAAGATCACACAATCCCCTTTTGCACTTTTTGACAAGCAAAATCCATGGGGAAACCAGATTCACTTAAACAACCATGTTACTCACTTATCAACTGCAGCGTTTCACTTACTGTTAACAATCGTGGTGAGAAGACTCGTGGTGTAAAAGGGGACAAAACTCACTTCGCAAAGGTCTCACGTCACAGCCAAAATGTTGGGCTCAATTGTGGTCGTAAGTCTTGGACTACCTGTATCTGTTTGTCACAAGTGTGATACACACACAGAAACAAAACCAAGGAAAGATTTGATCACGCTGTTGCAGCAGCCACAATTATTTTAATTAACGTCTGTGTGGACGTTCTTGGCAACGGCTTGGGCCTACCTTGACTATCTGGGCCATCAAAGACTCACAAAAGGAATAAGAAGGAAGGGAGAAAATAGGACAACGCCTACTTCAAAAATGGTTCACAGACGATACTTGGAGTTTCCCTCTCTGCTCTTCATTAAAGCAATCTCGGTTTTTTTTCAGCCTTCTACATAAACCTGAAATGTGGGTGCTTGAAAAATCAATGTATTTTTTTTTTACAGATTAAAAGTTGGAAGGGATCTTGTAGGTCATCTAGTCCAAGCCCCCCTCCCCCGCCCAAGCAAAAGACCCTACACCCATGATGGCGAACCTATGGCACGTGTGCCACCTGTGGCATGCAGAGCCATATTGGTGGGCACGCAAGTGTTGCCCTTGACTCAGCTCCAGCACGCATGTGCAAGCTGGCCAGCTGATTTTCGGGCCTTTTGGGCCCACTGGAAGTCGGCAAATGGGCTGTTTCTGGCCTCTGGAAGGCCTGCGGGGGAGTGGGGAAGGCTGTTTTTGCCCTCCCCAGGCTCCTAGAAAGCTTCTGGAGCCTGGGGAGGGTGAAAAACGGGCCTACCGGGC